TCCGTTTTACATCAACAATTCTTCACAAGATTGATTTTTTCAAGGTCATCCTGATTATTTTGCGGTTTTTTTACATCCGTGAAGAAATTCATGAATTATCTGACAGTACACAGTGCTGCCAACCACACAACAACTTCTTGCTAGAAGCACCAGATAACATAAACAGAAACCTTATTTTTGAATACTGTAGTTCTATCAAAATTCTATAGTTGAATTTAAAAGTTGTTCACTATAATGGGAAGGAAAACTATGGCACAATGAGTTTGACATCCAACTTGGCAAAAATAAGAGTAAGTTCATATTGCACGAAGATATTCACGAGGTTTGATTTATTTGACGTCAAATTCCTGTTTTATACTTATGAAATTTTGCCATGACCCCAATTAATGAACAAATCCATATGGATTTATTGTCAATGTAAAACGGATATATTAATTTCCGCTTAGATATTATGATATGAGGCGAATGTGGTATGATCAGTATCTACTGTAGTCCCAAACATCAGTATTTACTGATCACTTCGTGAGTGTCGGATTTCAGTGTAAATACTGACCTACGCTTTTTGGCATCCCTAGGTCAGACGACAGTTCAAGCTCTCAATAAAAAAAACATTAACTACTCTCCGTAGTTCTTTCCTACTCTATTTTAATATTTTGCTATGTTGGATTATGAATCTAGAATTGTCCCTTGATATTCTCTCAGTTTTTTCGAGCGGACAAGAAGGCGAAATCAAAAATGAACCCTCGGTGTTTATCCTACCAAAAACCATAACCAAAACATATTTAGACTTACGAGCATGAACCAAATTCCCTGGAATTCAGAATCACGTATATTTTTCTTGCTCACAATAGAGCTACAAGAAAGGAAAAACTATAGTTAATTTGTAATGTGAACATAGTACACTACAGACCTAGGCTGTGAAGTGATCCACTACCACTGGTGGTCGTATATAAAAATATGCGATGTGCGAGATCAATAACGGCCTTCTCAAGCGAGAAACTTATGGAATATGGTTTCACTAACACTTTGAATCACTACATTTAACTTAGATATCTGATTTCAGTAGTGTTACTTTTATTATAACCGCAAATTAACGATCATCACGTGCCTTACTTGTAACGAAAATACTCAAAAATACTCAGACTGAAAGTTCAAAATCAGATTATCATTTTCAACTATATGATCATATAGCTGGGCTACAGTGGCGTTTTACAATTTTTTGGACGCCGGAATAAAGTATCAATTTGGCTATTTTAAGGTAGAATCATTGATTAGGGTATTTTACCTGAAGATATCCTATATATAATATAATAATACATAGTATTAGGCTGGTGAATATATTAGCGCGACTTAAAAATTATTCGAGATGAGATGAGATACTGCATCGACATCTATGTCAATGTATCACAGCTATCTATCTCCTCTTCGCAATACTTACGCACCTACTTTGAAAAGGTTAGTGTCTCATAGATGGCGCTGTAGCCAACTATAGTATGTGAGCACATATCTACAGCGGTATCTACGAGGCACGAAGCTTTTCAAAGTAGATTTCTAATTATCGTGGAGAGGAGAAACATAGCTTTCACAAATTCACATAGATTGGTCGGTTCGTCTCTATTATCATCGTCGAATGACAAAGGTGCATAAAGTTCATAACTTCACTTTTGCAGCATCGCCCACGTCAACGCTGTTGCCAAGCGACATTCCCACAAATTCTTATCGTATAAACGGATTGTCGATATGATTTATCGCAGCAAGGAAGGAGGCGACGACAGTTTAAAAAACCTGATTAATTATAATTTAATAAAAGCGACAGCCGTAGTTTAAAGTGATTTGTGATGCTGTGACCGGCCTGAAGCCGGTCGCAAATCCAAACAGAAAATTATTCACGTTGGCGCTTCTTCCGGATTCACGGTGATTTCTCATTATCGAAAATATAATTACTTCCTATTTGTGAATTATTGGACGTTGTTCCATACGCAATAACAGAGATAAATACGCGATTACACCCACTGTGAGTGCACTTTAATTAAAATGGAGAACGTGTATGGGTTTACAAATAGCTAAGCTATATTAGGAGTGACGTCAACCGATTCGTATGTAAGGTGAAATATCTGGGAGTTCCCTCGGATGGAAAACTAATTTACAAAGATTGTCTAGGAATGAGAATGAAAAAGGATACTGCTTGGTTTGCAATGCTACGAAAATTGACTTTTTGTGGCAAGCGCTCTTATTTGGAAAGAGTATTCCATTGATCTCATCTCTCTCAAACCACTTATTAACATATTCTATCCCAAGATAGCTCCATATACACTGCATTCCAAGCCCCAAAAAGGGTTTCGGCAGATACTGGCGCCATCTATGAAACAGTAGCAGAACACAAAAATTAATTTAAAAATTCCACCGAGAGTTGAGATTTTGGTTCTGTTACTGACTCATAGATGGGGCTATAATGCCTATTTAATTAGATATTTTCAGGAATTGATTAACCTATTCTACCTGAATACCCAATTGGAATAGACAATAAGATAGGCCAAAACGGATTGAAGATCCTAGCGCCATCTATGAGGCAGTAGCAGAATCAAACACTTTAACTCTTTCGATACCTTATGCAGCAAGTGTGTATTCGGCCCTAAGTTACTTTTTATAAATATTAACGCAAATTGTATTTGTTATGTTCTGAGAATTTGAAACCTGTACAAAAACGAATTTTGAGATTTGAAAGCTTTGAATGAGTTATACATTTAGAAATATCGCCCAGTACAATGTTATTTGTGATTCATAGGAGTGATATCTTGAATAATTCCCTTTGCTATCGCTGCAACAGAAATCATAATCTACCACAGGCTGCCGCCGCCTTTATTAAATTTAATTATTAATCGGTTTTCTTGATAAGAATTTATCGTTCGATTGCTTGGCAACGTTGCTGAGGAGAGTCGATCAGGGTTGCCGAATTGTCGTAAAAGGTATCGGAAATGTCGAAGATTTGAGAGCAATCGAAATCTCCCCTATTTCTTGGAGTTTCCTTGGATTACCTACCTCGGATGTCTTCGGACTGGGAAAGAAAATCTTGATTATTGATCGATTTTTGATATTGTAAAAAATCAGCTAATTCGAGTCTATTATATCATAATTTCCGATTAGTTTAGGTATTATATTATAGTTTCCGATTAGTTTAGGTAAAATTTAGTAAATATTTCTTAGGAGGATTATATCAATTTTCATAGTGGCAGAACCAATATTATTCCGAGAATTGTGCAGAGCTTGAAAACAAAGCTCGTATCCTCCAAAATATGCTTTCTATTGAAACAATCATTTTACTTTTTCAGTAATTTTAAGTTTATTTGGATTAAGCACCCAAATAAAATTAAACTAACCTCCTAAGACTTTTTATCATAAATACGATGTTGTTGTAGATCGTGTAGAACTTACTTGATGAATGACCGAGTCATTCTACTGTTTCATTTTTTGCTCTTATACTTCCCAATAAATTCAAGAACTCTTTGTGCATAAGAGAACGTTATCGTACTCCAATCAACTTCTGTTCATTCTACACCACCACTAAGTCCTTCGTAGAGTTACAAGCAGGTACCGAAACCGAAGTGAACAGCAAAATACATCGCACGCCACTGCTACCGTGGCATCTCTTCGAATTCTGCAAGATACGCTCGTACCGACTTTGTCAATTCGCCAAACAGTAGTATGTGCGACGTGTTTTGCTGTTCTCTTTCTTTTCGGTAACAGACTATATTTCCAAAAACTAACTACAAGGCTGTCAAATATACTCATCCACACATGAATGACCTAATGCCGTCTAACTACGTACTCTACGATCTGGTCCACTGTAAATGTCCGTTTGGGACTGTCAGGAACTCATTGTTGGAAGGAACCTTTTCCTTTGTATCGGCTGCTATGGGAAAGCTCTTGCCCATAAAGTTTTCAGTGGGATAGGATTTGGCAACATCGCGGCGACATAGCGCGCCGTCTCTGTCTATGCCACAATGTTTCTAGGGAAGGGGCAGGTACTTAATACACACACACATACGAGACAATTTCCTGCATGATGAGTTCATTCCATAATTTATGTAACAAATACAGTGGCGGCACCACCAGCTCAATATTTAAGGGCCGCTTTCATTGTGTCTGGTCATGTTGACTCTGTAATTGGGAGTTAACAGTGTGCCACATATAAGGTACTAACTGGAGCATTATGATTATTACCACTTTAGGTTCACTAAACCCACGGCTCCGCTCGTGTGGAAAAATAAATGTAATATTTAAAGTAATGCAATGGTTACTTTGATAATAAACATTTTATCCTATATTTTAATGCAACAATAAATTAATTTCAGTGTTTCGCTTTTCATGTTCTCGACAAAAAGTAAGTAGTTTACTAAAAAAATGTAACTCACAAAAAAGATGTTGCGTTCTAAAAATTCATTTGATCTCCAAATGACTTTGGACATACTTGAACATAACGTTTCTTTCTCTTTTTATTTCCGGTGTCAAAAATAGTGGCTTCCATTTAAGAAATCTGTCCTAACCTTCAAATGATATCGAGAATAGTCAGGGGCACGTTCAGTATCACCAAAGATGAATCTTTACAACTTTGTTATGCAACATTTTTTCCTGCCTATTAAGGTTACGTTTTCCTTTGAACTTTTTCCGGAGCAGCTTTGTAGTACTAGTGAAATTATGTCTGCTCGAGTGTATTCTCCTGCCTACCATCACAACTCTGTCGAACTTCGTACATTGAGAACCGACCAATACCAGTGCCCCTTTGTGCCTGGAGTAAGCTTTCCTCCACGATACCGCCGCGCGATGAGCCCGCCAGACAGACCCGCCTGCCTTCGGCGTCCCATACTAACAAAATCTTAGGCAGTTTCTTAATGGTCCATTTTGGCAGCAGGTACCACTGACGCCGTACACAATAATGTTAATATACTATAGTATTTTAAACAAAGGTATTCAAAAATACTAAGCATTCTGAATCCCTTACAGGTATCTGCCGGTCAACATGTACACCTGTCCGGCGATATCAAGGGCAACGTATCCATCGCTGCCCAGCAGGGCATGCACTTCACCCAACAGCAGCAGCAACAGCAGCAACAACAACAGAGCCCTATGTCGACGCCCCAGCACCAGGGATCTCCCATGTCGGCGGGCATGGGCGGTCAAGGTATGGGGGGCATGGGGGCGGCCAGTATGTTGGGCGGCCAGCAAGGCATGGGCGGTAAGTTGATTTCCTGCCCGAAGGGTGAGCGTGTCCTAATGTGGTATATGTTAAACTCGTTCTCATCAGGTGCCGGAAATATGTCATCCAACATGTCGCAAGGCAGTATGGGTGGAATGGGCGGACCCATGGGCGGCATGGGAGGTCATGGAGGTGGATTAGGTAATATGGGCAGTGCAATGGGCGGACCGAATGGCGGATTGGGTTCTGCAGGAGGTCTAGGTAAGATATTCTATAACCTAATAAATATAATATTAATTAATTGTTATTTTCATTAAAGAGTTAATATTCTTAAATAACTATAAATATTTAATTGGTATAGTTGCTAATAAAAGAATTTTTATTTCGAAAATGGTACGTCTGAACGAATATCTTCTAGCAGCTGATTTTAAGTAGAATCATTCTGTTTTTGACACTGAACCTATTTTTTGAAAAAGCCACTGACCACTATTTTCACGCTAAACCTTGATACTCTTCGGTGCGGATGTTACTGATGTAAATGCTTAAGAAAATAATTTGCACATCTTAATGTAACTTTTGATGATAAATTTGTATGTGTCAACACTCATGTCAACATCTCAATGGATCAGTAATCATATTCAGGAAAGCCTTTGTCTTCAGGCTTAAGTTTAACGAATTGTTTTCGAAAAATCCAGTAACTATGCATATTTTTGAATAATTCTGATTTTTTTTTGTAGGTGGGCCAAACAATCCTATGGGCGGTCCCAATGGAATGATGGGTGGTTTAGGAGGAATGCCACACCCAGGGATGCAACACCTTAGTGGGATGTCGCACAACGACAGTTATTCCATGTCACAGACACAAACTATAAACTTCACGCAACAGTCGCTTAGGAGGGCTGGTGGACCAGGTTCGTAAGATTCTGAAAAATAATTACACACCAGTATACTTTGACGGAATTCGTTAAGGAACCGTAAAAAAATGATATATTACCACTCATGACTCATGTTTTGGAAATACCCTGTATAACAATGTACTGTTTCAGGCATGCCAATGGGCAGCGGTACGGGCGGCCCAGTCCCCGGCAGCGCCCTGTCTCAGCAGATGACCAACCAGCAAATGGCTGCCGCTGCCGCAGCTCAGCAACAGCAACAGCGCATGCAACAGCAAGCTGCCTTGGATCAGCAACAGAAGCTGCTGCATCAACAGCAGCTGCTCAGGGCGCAGCAGCAACAGCAGCAGCAACAGCAGTACATGGCGGCGGCCGCGGCAGCTGCGGGTGCAGCTAGACCGCCGCCACCTGATTACAAGGCGGCAGCTGCGCACGCCATGATGCAAGGTGTACAAAGGTAAGGAATTTTACGTGTAGTGTAAAGATAAATTGCGCCTTGGGTCTCTTCTCGCCTCACTGGGCATGGTTCTTTAGTCAAAGTACAATCAATTGGTAGTTTTGCCTGTAACGTTTTGAGAAAGTCCAAAATTAGCAATGTCGTAATCTCAGCTTTGCCACAATTATAACATTTTTAAGAATTTCATTATTTCGTTTCATTTTGAATGTTTAGTTCCCTGAATGAACTACTCGTAAGAATGTTACTATCGATAAATTTCGTTGTTCCTTAATACTTGTGAATTACGAGATAAATGTTATCAACAATTTGTTTTTCACAGGTATGGACCCGGACCTGGCCCAGGACATGGCGGAGGACCACCTCCTGGACCTCCAGTTATGCGAAGAATGGGTGGACACCAACCTATGCCCCCTTCAGGTGAGTCCATCAAAATTCGTGTCTTGGAAAGTCTTATTCTGAGTAAATTCTGCAATGCAATTTATCTTCCACGTGTCTGTCCAAAATAAGAAGATAAGAAAATTTGTGTCACTCGTCAGCGGCTTTGGGGATGGAGTCAAGTATGGGACATTTGTATCATATCGACACAGGCCTGGCTTAAGCTTATCACTCTATATACATCATTAGTAATTAATCATTTAAATAATAGCCTTCGCTAGGAGCTAGTTTTCGTCGACATAGCTATAGCAGTCTGTACATCTTGCGCTAAGAAAGTTCTCTTTGAAATCAAAGTATTACATTGATCGTAATATTCGATTGTTCTTAGGGCCCATGATGCGTTCGAACATGTACATGCTGCAACAACAGCAGCAGCAACAGGCCCAACAACAGTTACCCCAACGAGCGATGTACGCACGTCAACAGGGCGCCTTGGCAGGCATGGAGACCGTTCAACAGCACAACACCTCAACAGAGTGGCGGCATTTGTTAATTTCTCAACAACAGAACGCTGCTTTCAACGCTGGAATGAGGCCTAGCTTCCAACAAGGTGAGTAGTTTGTCTCTATTAAATTGAAGTTGGTGATGATTCCAACATACTTTTTGCGGTCGTGTGTAGGGACGATGAATACATGCCGGTCCAGTCGCAAATACTTTTACGTCACAAGTGTTGCTTTCGTCGTGGACCTCGTATTCTAGCTGAAGATAGCCAAACTAATACCATATTCCCGGGTCCAAAAAGATATGCGAGATTAAATGAGATACTTTAGGGGTCATCTGTGTCATCTATGTCTCTCATCTTTGCATTAATTTGAAATATCCAGCTTTGTCTCAATAAACCATCGAACTAGTTCTGAACTGAACAGAGCATAGGTAAATCGAAATTACCATTTCATCAGAAAATGACAATAACTGGTTCCGTAACTGGCAGTTCTCTGCTAGAACAAATTACTGATTCTGAACCGGTTCTGAATTGGTTCTGAGAGAGAAGTTTGAATGTTTTAGTGAATATACGGAGAAGCTGGGTTTTGTCGATACCATTTTGAGCTTTTTCTAACTTTTATATTTTGTCATGTATCAAAGCTCAATCTTAACCGCCATTTATTACACATATTAAAAAATTGGGTGACGATGAAGATCACTTTGGAACAGATTCATATGAAGATGAAGATCTGATTATACGGGTTTCAAGAACTAGAAATGATTATTACATAGATAAATGTTGATGATTTTCATGAATTTGTTTGTCATGTTATTAGTAATAGCATTGATACTAATCTTTTAATATTTTTTTTTATTTCAAGTCAGTTAATAGCTTAGTGTTGTTAAAATTCCTCTTAATTTCCTCCTCTGCTACAGTGCTTCCCTTAAAGTCAAAATGTCGAATTCTTCCAGCTCTAAAAAAAGACTCCGTCTGTTTGTTTGTTTGTTTTCTATTGTCTGACCGAGACAAGACCTATAGGTACTGATGATTGCTAACAAGAATGAAATTATGTTGTAGATGGTCACAGTCACAGAAACAGAAAACAAACAGATTCAGAGAGAGTTCTTTCAGCTTAGCCAGATTGTTCTCCTCTCAACGAGCATTTACTTGATCTTGACGTATTGCGAGCTTTGTCGCGGTAGTTCTTTATTTGCTACGGGTCATGGGGATCTTGCTTATCTGCTTTCAATCGTTTTCTCAACAGGAATTGCTCTATTTTATTTTACAAAGTTATTATGGCCATTCCGTCCTTGGTATACCTAAATATTTTCTATCTAGCACATTGTAATTATTTTTTTGTCATTTTATTACCCATATTATTTCTGCTCACTATATTTTACCATAATATTTTCAAACTCCATTCTACTATATAATACGTTTCCTGACGTCGATCAGGATGTCAAATGATCATTCTCAATTTAAATCTTCTCTTCCAGGCTTCATGAACGCCAACCAAATGCAGCAGCAACAGCAACAACAGCAAATGTCCCAGCTAAGCCAACAGCAACAACTGATGCGTTCGGCGGCCGCCCAGCAACAGAGCATGGCCAGTGGCGGCGGGCCGGGCCAGCAAATGACGCAAGGGCAGCTGATGGCCGCACAAAGTGGGGCAGGCGGGGGGCAGCAAGGGCAGATGGGCGGCGGCGGCATGAGCCAGGCGGCGATGTTGCAACAGATGCAGCAGCAGGGCATGCAGCAACAGCAGAACTCACATGTGAGTACAAAATACATTTTTTTAACTACTAACTTGACAAACTTGACTAACTGACAATAACTTGCCTGAGCTACTTTTAATTAAAAAACACATTTCTATCTAAAAGCACCCGTGACGTATTTCCGAAGTTGAATTTCTTGGCGATTCGCTGCTAGATGTGACAATAATTTATAAATGGCGTTTTAGACAACAATGTTATACACATTTTTTAAAACAATGATACAGTACAGAAAATCTCGTTCTGGACGTTCAGATGACAATACATACAGTATCCTTTGACTGATATCAGTTCTGATAGTGAATTTGAGCGAGTAACTAAGGCAAATCATTAAATTTTTGGGGCTTATGACTTTACTGCCTCATAGATTTGGATTATACATTCGCTAAAAATTCAAGTTTTTTCCAGCAATTTTCATCAGTGAATAACTGTACAGGCCGGATACGACATATGAAGGGAGTCCAATAAGAGCGCCGGATTTGATTTTCAAGAAAAACACAATTTATTTTCGAATTCAGCGAGTATTTATATTTCAACATGAAGGGGAATAGTTGCGATTAAACATGAAATAGGAGATCTGGTAAATAGCCATCACGAAACCTCTGGCACAGGGTCAGCCTTTTTTTAAAATTCTGGATAGCGTTTTCGCACAACTGTGGCTCTATTTCGTCGATAAACTATTTGTGGCTTGTTCGCATACACCTTTTCCTTCACATAGTCCAGAGGAAGAAGTCCATTGGCGTTACATCGCGCGATCTTGGTGGCCAATTTTGATCGCCAAACCGACAGATGAAACGGTCTGGAAATTTGGTCCGCCGTAACACCATTGTTTCACGTGCTGCGATAGCAGAATGTCACACGATCATTTTTTGTGGCACTCTGTCAGTAGATGGATATTCTATATTGAGGTTAGGAATCAGCTCTAAGTAAACCTTTTTTCTTCCAGATGTCAATGTCAAGCCTGCACATGCAACAGTCCCAGTCGATCAGCGTGGCCAGTCAGCAGTCTCTCCAGACGCAACAAGCACTATCAGACGCATTATGTCCCCCAAACAATCAAAACAACTTCCCAAACCCTGCCGACTTCGGCTTCGAGTTTCTCGACAGCTTAGGGCCTGGAGATGCCGGGGCTTTTACTGACCAAGAGCTCTTGAACTCGTTTGATAGTGATGCAGGATTCAATTTGGACTTCTAAGAGATTCAGTGATTCACAGACCACTCATAGGTCTTCAGGATTATGTGGTGTTAAAGTGATATAAAGAGAATACTTACCAAATCCTTAATGAGTGACTAGTGGTTTCGCAGATCATCAGTAACACTTCCAGACGAGTTTGGGTTTCCACAAATTGACAAGAACTTCTTAGTAAATGGTCCCATTGAAAACTTTGGATTAATGGTTCCACAGACCACTAAGAGGTTATCAAGGCTCAAGAAAGCTTAGGGGCATCAAAGGCTCTCCCTGGAATTGTGTCTATTTTGACATTATGACTCCAGTTATTTGGGGTGGTTTCAAATGTCCGTAGTATGAAATGTAAAACGTTTTTCCTTTTACATTAAATTGGACATTATCTCCGAGTCATAGACGAATTTTAGCCTTCAAACCAAGTATAAGGCGACACAATTTTCTATGACTTAAACTTATATTCCCCAACTCAGATAAGTTGGTACATCAGCAAAATTTGAATGGTGAAGTTTTTTTTGAATTCTTGAAACAATGAGGTATGTCTGACAAGGTATTCAGAAAAAATGCTATAATTCAATCCGTTTTTTTTAATAAAAATCCTTTGAACCTTGTTATTGTATCAACAGTTCTGTATATATTTCTGTACATATTTATACACCTTCCTATTAAATTTTGACTGTGGTTATGTTCAACCTTATCTCAAGAATTTTTTATGTTGACTTTTTTGTGATTCGCTCCAAAGTGATTTTTTAATAGAGCATACGCGGACGTAGAATTTATATTTTTGTTTCTTTAAATTAATCACTTAACGACATTTAGGATTAAATAAATACTAGACAATTTTGTGCGGTATTGCAGTGTCAGTTTCCAAAGTTCAGCATTTCAGCATTAAAAAGTAAATCAAAAATTTGTTCAAAATAAATAAAACAGTTATTCGTCTGAAACTAGAACGCGGAAAAAATAAAAGTAAAACAGCTTTTAAAAAATGCCAGATGTGATTTTTTGAGCAGAAGAATAATTGTAATAAATTTCAACAAAAGTATACATTTTCTTAAGAATGCTGTATTTGAAGGAAAACTGTGGATGCAAGACCATGACATATACACTATTCATATTGAAGCTCCTCTATATTATAATGTATAACCATTGATAAAAGTTCAAAGTTTGAAATAATTCCATCTATATTTAGACAATCATTGATTTGCTTTTTTTTTCACGATCACATCGATTATTGGCTTTGCAAATTTTGCACATTTTTATAAGGAGATTAAAAGTAGCAGATATTCTAAATTGCCGTTTTTTAACGATTCTAAAGTATCACTTAATAGAGAAAAATTAAATGTCCCTTTTTAAGAAGAAAATTCAGTTTTATGATTTACCATTTAGCAATTTGTTTTAAACATAGATCAAGTTAGCTATCTTCCATATATCAAAAAAATTATGAAAGTTCTCCAAAAATGTTACATTTCACACTGGTTACTCCATTTTGTTTTTGACCTGATATAGGAAGAAACCTTGGGTCAATTCAAAGGGAACAATTGGAAATTGTATTTATTAATATTAACTTTTAGAGTTAGAGAAATGAAAGGTATACATTTTCCAAAATTTTTGTTAGAAAATAAGAATTTATCAACTACGATATTTTAAATATTTGACAATAGTTTATTTTCTGACCAAAACTATTTAGAAAATATACCTCCGTTTTTCATTAAAATGAAAAAATCTTATTATACTTTGTGATATTTTAGTTTTACCACTGCCAGAAACGCAGAAAATTTTACAAATAGGAATATTGGTGTAGACAAGATTAATAGTTCTAATAGCAGTTGATTAAAAGAGGTTCATGGTTGCTGATTTTTTTCTGTGAACAGCTTCAAAAAAGTAATTTACGTATCTTTTCTTGGAAATGTGAAGTAAACTATAATTGTGAAAAACCCAAAATATAAGGCATACTAAAATATGTCCTTTCCAATTTATCTTAAATCTAGACAACGTCCCAAATTTTTACCAACAAAAAGTGGTCTGGGCAGTCCCACATTTATAGTCGACGCTTGTAGGCTTAGTGGCAATTGGGGGTTGATCCCCTTATTTCAAATAACTATTAACTCACCCTTCAAAACAAACAGAATTTGTTGAATTTTCAAAATTCTTAAAACTTTCAGCATATGCAAAATTTCGAATATTTTCATAATTTTTAACATTTTCAATTTTTTAAATTTAAATTTTTCAAAACGAATATAGTCGTCTTCAGGATATTAAGAATTTTTGTAATTTTTAAAATTCTTATAACTTTCAGGATTATCAAAATTACGAATATTTTCAATTTCCAAAACCGTCAACTTTCCAAAATTCTTAAAGTTTTCGAAATGTTAAGAATTTTCAACATTCTGAGTTTTCAAGTTGTTCAAAATGTTTAAATTGAAAAATCTGAAAACACGTCACGAGAACTGTTACAGCAATATGTGGAATGCAAATGTTAAATCTCTACTTGAGGATCACTCAAGGGTGTGTTCTTATTCCGTTAATATCCAAGGGTTGACCAATCGTCAAAGGGTACTCTGCCCTCAACGGTCAACTATAAATGTGGGCCTTAATATTTAAGCCTAAAATGAAGAGATGCTGTTTACCAGAGTATGATTTTTGGGCAGTTTAAACTTTTTTCAAATTATTTTTCCAGTTGGAACTTAGTATCTACACCATTCAGATATGTCTAATAAGGAATCAAATCAAACCTTTTATTATACACATATTCATATCACTTTTACATATTTATTAAAAATTGTAGGTGAATAGAATATGAATCGTACAGTGGACAACTTAATTTGAATCTCATATGACAATTCAAAAAACTGCTCCAGTTTATTGTATTGTAGAGTCACCCACAACAAAGTTTTTGTTTGACGGGTTTAAATTTTTCGTCCACTGTTCTTTTTTCTTATAGCATTTTTTACAGTTTTTCCACTGTTAGAAAAATGTCTTTCCAGCGATATTTCACACATATTAACACAGTTTATGCTTAACAAATTCGAACATCAACATATTCTATATCCAATCATATACCAAATTTGAAAATGATGCATTTAGAAAGATGCAGCACTGTGGCGCCTAATATCAGTGTCCTTTGATTCAAATCTACTCTAATATAAATTGTTGGAGGGGCTTTATTCTCTGAATGCAAAAAATATGATACCAGTTTTCCAGATACTATTTGTTACAGAAACTTTTATATTACTATGATCTTACTTTAAAAGTCGTATCTGGATGAATTCTAAATTTAAATAATACCATTCATTATCGTAATTTACCTGCAGATATATTATTCAACCATATATGTACTGCATTCCGGCGTCCAGAAAAGGATATTTAATTCCTTTTTGGTGCCTCACTAATGTCTATCCTAATACGGTATCTACAGACCTTGATTGACGTTTTCCGTCTGATAATATCCAATTAAAATAGGCATTAGAAAGGTCAAAAGGGGATTGAAGATCCAAGCGCCATCTATGATACAGTAGCAGAATCGAACAGTCTTACTCTTTTCAAAGTATGTTTCTAGATTTATTTGTGATCTGCTACTACATAGATAGCGCTAGTATATATCTTTCAGATCCCTTTTTGCTTGCCAGTAAGCAGTGTATGGTTGCATATCTTCAGGTAGAATGCGTTAATCAGTGATAATGTTGATTAAAACCTGATGGAAAAACTGTGAAGATGTTTCTCAGTAGACTGGTTAGCTTTTATGTAAATAATCCAAGTAACAAGTAACGTTAAAGAGATTTAAAAAGGTATATACAATTACGATAGTAGCAAATATTTTAGCAAATTTTTGACAGACGTTATTATATTAGTGGTGAAAATGAACAGTTTTAAATATATTATATAACTTGTCATAATATATGAAGTAGATGAGAACGTAACTGATTTCTAAACTGGACTGTACAGTAAAACGATTTTCTTTCTTTAACTGTGATAGTTTGATGTTTCATTACTAACACAGACTTACTGAAAAATTTTCTTGCGCGCGAAGTGTCACTCGAAACGATAAATTGCACAAGAATATGTGTCCTTTTGAAATGAAAAGTATTAGTTAGGGATGACAACGACAGACCAGTTTGAACTATTTTAAGTTTGCAGTTACTATGCAGCAAGATACTCCAACCATCGATTAACGTATTCTACCTGAAGAGAGCTAACCATATACTGAATTCTGGCGTAAAAAAGGGATCTGAAAGATTCTAGCGCCACCTATGAGGCAACATTACATAAAAACGAATTTTTAGATATTTGAAGTTAATGTTCTTGGTTTTGCTACTGTCCCATAGATGGCGATAGGATTTTCTGTCCTATTTTGATTGGGTATCTTCAGGTATTGATTAACGTATCCTGTCTAAAGATAACCATTTAAAATAGGCATTAAGCCTGTATGCCACGATTAAATCATCATCCTGTTACTTTTGACAAGGAATTGGGCAAAAAAATATTGGCCGGGATTCGCTGTTCTCTCTTTGCAACGATCAAATATTTTGTTACAAATCTTGAACAAGAACATGTGCATTTCCACCAATTACAAAACGAAAGACATATGTGTTGCATGTAATAATTTTTGCCATGAGTCTGTCATCTAGACATCTCTGCAGTGTTTCATGGATCCATAGATAAACAGCATTCTGTGGCCGACTTCCGTGACAGTAGAAATTAGGATGGAGTGGGGGCGAGTGAGGGAGTTAGGTTTGGTTTATGAATTACATGTTATTAAACTTTAATCATCCTCGTTCAACTGTTACTCTCGTGTAATATAAGTATCTTTTAAAACTTACAGCTGAAAAATATCACAAGTAAAAAAATATCCATTCAGTCTTGTGAACATTTTCTTGACAGAACGAACTCGGACGCGCAGTTACCCTTTGTGCATCCAATTTCTTGCAGAATTTCGAAGTGCACATTTATCCAAATTATTTCACATTATGATGAAAAATTTTATAGTGATATAAGGGCTTTAGACAGCAAATAGGGGATTGAAGATCCAGCGCCATCTGTGAGATAGTAGCTGAACGAAACGCTCCTCTTTTCAAGGTCGATTTATAAATTAATCTTTGTTGTGCTACTGTCTCATAGATGCCGGCGGTCCCTTTTCGGACGCCAGAATAAGGTATATGGTTGACTGTCGTCACGTAGAATGTGTTAATCAATACTAATCTGTTTGAATAAAGTCAACAACTCCAAAAAATGATCTCAGATCATTACAAAATATCAGACGATTTTTACTACTTCTACTAACTCCAGAATGAACATTCCATTTTAACCATATGCATTTTCTAATATTTTCCAGCATTTCGGGTATTAAAAAAATATTACCGTATATCAGTATTTGAAAACACTGTATTTTCCCTTGTATGTATATATATTTTTTAAACGCTTTATGACAAACGACAGACCACAGTTTTACTTTGTAATTATTTATATGTACTTAGTAGAATGAAATTGTTATATTCTAATTTTTACAGACATAGACAGAGTTTATATTGAAGAATATATTCCATGTTTTGTAGATTTACTGTAAATCAGGTGATTATATTAAAATAAACATATACAGTATAACTTGGAAGGTGTGTTTTATTTTATATTTCGTATTTTCCATGAATGCAGTCGAGTCGAGAATCTCTAATGTTTTTGCGGCGGTAAATCCTCTTCCAGATGCGGTTTCAGCGACACAAAAAGGTATTAAACCATTGACTAACGTATTGTACCTAGGCAACTTGATGATATCTTCCCGCGCACATAAAATTATCCGAATTGAAATCAGAAAAATCTTGAAAAAGACCTGAAATGTCATTATAATACTTAAGAACGTTCTAGACACATTTAAATTAACTTTGAATATAAAAAACTCATTACATTGCCTTACTATAACAATGGCTAATAGACCAGCATTTAATCAAATTACGCCTGATAATATACGTATAGACGAGCCTTTGAAAGAAGTAAATGAAATTAAATATTTGGGGGTTGTTGTTGATCAGCACTTGAAGTGGGACCAGCATGTGCTGTACTTGAGAAAAAAAATAGATTTTGATGATTTACAAAGCACTTGTGGTGCCCCTTTTGGTATATGGCATATTTGTGTGGTGGGATATACGGTTCAAATCTTGGGCAACTAAAAGTCGTGCAGAACCATATTGTAAGGATTATTCTAAAAAAACCTAGATTATATCCCACTATACAAGAAATTAACAATATTAAAATCTTATAAATACATCCTTGCAGTATATGTAGTTTTTTTGTACATGCAAATAAGAAATTAAATACAAATTATGTGTTCCATAATTATATCTTACACCTAAATTTTACAATTTGATTCCTTCTAATATCAGGAATATTAGAAATAATAAAAAGTTTGTTTCGTTTAAAATCATCTGTTGGGAAAATCGTGGACAATTTATGCGTTTATTTTAGGTTGCTTTGAGGTAGGATGATCTGTCTTTTTGTTTCTTTTCTTTTTTTGTGATAAACTTGTGATACGTTTTTTCTGATGTTCTAATGCTCACGTAAATGATCAAAAGAGATTGGGTGGTGGAAAAACGCCTGACGAGCCATCCGTGCGACGCGCTCTGCTTCTGTTCCACTAGTTGTGTGCCGGCGATTTTCCGCAATGTCGTCGTGTCGCGAAGGTGGTGTGAGTGATTTTGTGGTAATTGTGTATGAAAATGTATTGTGATGATTCATAAAAGGCGAGTGGAGTATTTTCACGTTGGATATTGAGCAGTTTTCTGATCTTGAGCTGAATGTCTTTAGAGCAGACTAGGTAAATTAAACATATTCATCTACTTCTGTGTTAGCTTTGAGCTCGTAATGTCAAGATTGACTTATTTTGATGTGGTCAAAAGTCATTAGCAATTTTTCTCAAAAGTTAAACGTTTTCATGTTAGAAACGGTTAAAGTTCTGAGAAAGCTTAAAAATATCGATCTTCAATGTTTTAAAACGCGGGTTAAAATCATCGTATAGTTGCCATGCGTCTAAGTTAAATTTCGCCCATTTTCGTTCAAAACTCCGAGGAGTATTTTAAGATTAGCACATCTTAAAGTATTATTACTTAATTGTTAGCAACGCGAGATGCTAATGCGTATTCCAATGCGCGTCATTATTTTTTAACAATGACATAGAGTATTTCAAAAATACGCTAAGTAGGAGAAGGTTTGAAGTTTAATTGAGGAACATGAGAGCACATTTTTAGGGTTTTTCAGATATTCAATCGCTTATAACTCGAAAACAACCCTTTTAGAGTAAAACTATTTTTATTCACAATGATCCAAAGAATCTAAAAACACTTTGTAGTTTGTAATTGTTTACACTTTGCAGCGAGTTATCTCCTGATTGATTCAAAAATCGAGATGGAAAATTTATCCCACGAATTTTTTCGCCTCGTCCATAGTAAATGTAAATACATAATAAGTAGCACACTGCAATGTACAAAAACTTGCTAGAAAGTGAGATTAATGCACGGAAACACCGATTGTATATAAAGTTGTTTACAATTTTTCTAAGCAATAAATACCTCCATACAATCAATATTTTTGAGAGGACATATTAATTTGGGAAACTAACATAATGACGCCAAAAGTTATATTTCTTCACGCCCTTGAAGATGATTGCAGGCTGATACATGCAGAACGAACATCAATTGAAATGATGAAGAGGTATTTTTTACATAATATTCAGCTTATTATTCTTCATGTTTCACTGATGCCTTACACGATAAGTCAAGCTTATCAGGAAATACAGGGTATTCGAAAAATAGAGAGAGATATTTCAGAGGGTGATTGCTTGTTAAAAATATGAAAAAAATTAATTATTGTTTTACTAATACCTCAAAAAGCATTTACTCGATTCTATTGAAATTTGACAGTGTTATTGTTTGTATTAAAAGGCTCATTTAGCCCTAAATAGTTAAAAATTATTAGGTCCAGTGGCGTTCCGAGGGCACCTTATAGCGAATATTATTGGCAAACAAATGTACGCCACTGCCTTTTTTGTAACTGTAATATTTGTTGCTTAATTAAGCATCTAAAAATACAACTTCCTTGCCTCTTGAATTTTTTCGTATCTCACTTCGTTTTGGAATTGGTTTATTAATTTTTATAAATAATTTTAACAAGGAAACACCCTCTAAAATATCTCCGTCTATTTTTCGAACACCCCGTACGACTGTTGAAACCAAAAAGCAGCGGCGCTACAGAAGAAAGAACCAACTGCGCACCGTCAATATCAAAGGTATTGTAATTTTTGGTGACAACAGCTGTCATGTTTTGCCGCGGGCAAGCTCGAAAAAACCGCTGACAGGTGCTGTGTTACTATTTTTTCCATCTAGAAACAATTTTTAATCCAAAATTGTAACTGGTAGAAATGAAGATGAAGGAAACACTCGATATGAAAACCACATGATGTATATTGCTCAATAAACTAGTAATGATGGCCGGAGAACAGATGTTTTGGGATAAATAACTAGAAATTCTCAAAAAGCTACCTGACCCATATAATCTAATTTTGTTGTTGTTATTTAGAAGTATGAATACTACGGATTTGAAGAATTTTAATTAGTTGCGTGAAATTATCATCGCATTACCAACAAGTGCCAAAACCTGCATTTTGCCTCGTATTTCGGCCATAACATTTTTCATATTAGTCGGATCTTTTTACGTGTGGTTTCATTTTGTAGATGTCATAAATACGTAAGAATCTTATATGAAAAGTTTTTTTGTTCCTGTCAACACTTTCGATTGAATCCCAAAAAACACGTTTTCTCATGCTTTGTTGTCGAAAAAAGTGTTCCGAAAAAAATTGGTGTACCCATTTTATGCGGCCATTTTTTAAATACCCCATTGAACAACTTGCACCAATAAAACCAGACCTTAGAATTATTTCGGACTAGAATAAATACAGATTTTTTTCAATACACCAGAGTACTATGGAGCATTATCATGAGTGCATCTAATTGTTCTGAAAAAAATCGAAAAAACACGTTGCTAAGTAATATTCTACAAGAAGCACGAGTGCTAGTGGCAACAAAAATCCGAGTTGAAGACGAGTATTTTTTCAACTGCACCAATGTTTTTTGTTAAAAAAATATTACTTCGCATTGTTTTTTCGATTTTTTTTACACGAAAAAATTAGATGCCCGAATCGTATTTGACAAGACTATTTCGTGAGTAACAGATTATTCTGCATACAAATAACTTACAAAACATACTACCATTGTTTAGCGTCATTTTCTGGTGCCCTAGGGAAAAAAAATAAAGATGCTCATATTTTATTTTGTGATACAATTTGCATTCATAAATAAAATTTATCTAATTACAAAACGGTTCTTACTTAAAAAATAGCCCTCGTATAAACCGTTACTTCAATGCTACCTTTTTTTAGATTAATAACTGTAGCATGCTGGCAATTTTCAATTGTGCAAATGAACCCAGAATTATGGAACGACTTGATTTTTCTTCACCTGATACAATTGATTTTAGCAGTGACGGTTGAGGTTTTCTAGGGGTTTTCCTCGCCCGAGTGCGAATGCAGTCACTAAAAAACCACTTTCCCCTAATGAATAGTTGATAAAATGAAAATTGTACTTATCCTATTAATGATCATGTAATTTTAGATCAAATATCATTAAATATATTTATATAATAAAATTGTTTTTTTTTTCACTTGATGAGAGAAGTCCCGTATGCATAGGCAAAAAAGTATTTTATCCTATACAAAACCATATATAAAACTGGGAATTTATAAAAGTGTTTAGAGTCATAACGTTCTGTCGCATAGAAGCCAGGTCTGCTCAGTATGGGAATTCATAGCACAGGTTCTCAAAAAATTCATTCAGCGATAGAATTGAACTTGCAGAAGATTTCTATACTTAACGAACAAGAACGGTTTGAACTAGTAAAACTGTCTGGTATTTGCAAGGAATTTGGTCACAACGCTGTGGCGACACTATTGATGAACTAAGGCTAAGTGAGTCAGTATCCATATAGGCGTATTCTTTAATTCACCGGTTGAGCCACCGGTGCCAGCAATTAACCAATTTTTCTTCTTTTAATTTTCGTCTGAGCGACCGGTTGTACACCAAACTTGTCTTAAACTATATAGACAAGTTTGGTGTACAACCGGTCGCTCAGACGGAAATTTTGGTTGCACCGGTGGCTCAACCGGTGAATTAAAAAATACGCCTTATCAGGCGTCGCGTGGCGTCTAGGTTAACCTATGTAGTTTATAAACAAACCGCATTTGAAAAATTGAAACTTGCATATTCATACAGCAATAACGTAATTATTATCGATTTGATATGAGCATCATCTTCCGCGAGCGTACTCAGCACATCGCCGTTGTCATCGATGTTTCTTTCCATGACAGCTGCATATATTCATTTGAAAACTTTCCACCACGGATTTATCGAAAAAGATTTGTCAAGGAGGACAACTTTTTAAGCAAAAACTAACTACATAATTTAAAACGGTAACTAAAAACAACCTGATTTTTTCCGCATTCTTTTCATCAACACATATCCTGGGCGAACTGTATTTATTGTCATACCTGTTTAGCTATTTGTCGCTTAGGAAAAGAAAGAATTCAATTTGCTGTCAGTTATCCTTGTGACAGTCTTGGGATAGTGAAAATTAATTTCTTGATTCAGATTTTACTTCCAAAACGTTTTCTATAACTTAATATACGATGGTTTATGTATAATTTAAGTTTAAGTCTTCTAAAATAGCCATTACTGTACGTTCATGGTTGTAGCACTCCTAGTTCACAAAAACTGGAAACACTAAGAACGTACAATACTCAAAAAAATTAAGGAAGAAAAAAATCAAATTTTTCAATAACTTTTGACTGGTTGTTTTTCGATGAGAAATGGTCGTAGTTAGACTTCGAAAAAAGCATGAAGTTTCTAGTTTTCAGGTGTTTTAGACGAGAAATTTTACGAGCAACGTAACAGCGCAAGGAAAAATTTTCGGGTTTCAAAAAACGGTTTCTACGGACCTATTGGTCGGAGTTTGAAAGAAATCAAACGAGCAAAATTTTTGTATCAAAACATCCTGTAATCTGGTTGAAAATGGAAAAATCATTTTTCATCTCCTGTTGTCACTATTGGATATCTGTAACACCTTCAATTTTGAAAATAGCAATTAGAAAAATGTTGTGTATCCATGGAATATTCCAAATAAACAAAAAAAATTAACCAGCCGAAATGAATAGGATCCGGCAATGAATTTGCATCATTTTCAAACTTCAAGCAATCAATCCGGAGAAACCGTACAATGGATCGATCTGTCGCCATTATTAGTTGTACATTGAGGTACAAAATAGCAGTAAAATAATTCTATAGAGCATCATACTGCTCAATAATTCTACTTACAGCGGAAATCAGTGATGACCACCTGGTCTGTGGTGAATGCAATAAATTGTGGGATTTGATGTTAAAAAATGTTTGAAATTCCGAAAATCTTTTAAAACTGCGATGCATATAATTATATACGCTTCTTACCAACTTTTGGTTGCATTTCTATATTTTTTCATTGTATTTTTCAATTTTTTTGTTTGCTACAAACCTTTCAAAAAATCACTAGAAATATGTCATTTAACAAAAGTTTGCACTAAATCACAAAACTTGTTCAAAAATCACTAGGTCTAGTGAAATTTCACTAGACCTGGCAACATTGACCCGCAGCACCACTGCAAGCTAATGCCCTCTCCAGAATCGCGCGCGAAGCCGCGAACGATCCGCGACCCATGAGTATGGATCCCATTCGCGTTTTCTTCGCGGCTGCATGTCGCGTTCGCGCGTTGTTCCCGTTTGTTGTCGTTTTTTTGTCCCGCGTCAAAGGGTTCGCAAGGCGCGAACATGACTAGGCTCCTCATTCGCTGATGTTTCAGTTGCCTCATAGCGAGTGCCGGGAATGGTTGTGTTTTCCCACTTCTCTTCAATTGCTCTAGTTTTACTTATACAGGGTGACTTCGAAGTTGAGTCATTTATTTTAACAGTGAGTAGATCTGATCAAAAGAAATGTTTTTTTCCTTTACCATTTTTCTGGTAAAATTAAAGTAACAAAGTTATAGCCCTTTGGAAGTTTGAGTACCGCCCTGTCTCAATAATAATATCATGTACTCGTGTTTGGCAGCAACGGATATAATCCACCTTATCGGTTCATCGCATGGGAAACAAAAAAGCGAAAGAATTTGGAACGATGTTTTTATTTCATTCAGTTCAGTTATACATACAGTCAGTGTCAGTCGCGTGTGAATAGTGTCTGTTGCGTGGCTCAAACGAAATAAAAAATGGCACATGTTTATGCGGATCGGTTTCCCAATCGAGTGCAACCAACCCCTCGTGCCTTTGTTAATGTATTACAACGGGCTCGTGAATCAGGTGACTTAAGACCTCACGATCAAATACAGGTCCGCACTGAAATACTTGTTGGGAGGATACTTTATAAAACAAGGTAAACATTTTTTTTTATTTTTACACACATATTTTGGTTTATCTTCCTTCTACAATCATTATCTGAAAATTAATGACTCAACTTCAAAGTCACCCTGTATATATATACAGGGTGTTCCATAATTATTGCGACAAAATGATAGGGGTTGTAGAGGGCATAAAAATATGCAATTTTGCCTTGTAAACCCCTGTTCGTAAATATGCCGTTTGAGCACTACCGCTAATTTTACCTTAAGAGCTCATAGGAGAAACATAAAATTCACCAGCTGCAAAATGTTCGTCTAGCACATTTCATGGTCTCGCCGGTTTGTAAAAAAAGCCTGCTGTGTTTACATTTTTGTTATCGTAAATTCTCCACACCGATTCATTTAATTTATCTGAGTGGTGCGTCAAACTAGATAGTAAATAACAATACCTTAGTGTTAAAATGCAGCGTTATTCGTATGCGGAACTTGCGGATATGCATTTAATTTACGGAGAAGCTGGTGGTAACGGGAGACGAGCCTCGCGAATCCACGCCCAACGGTTTCCAGAACGTCCTCATCCGCATCACGCCATTTTTGCAAGGATTCATGGACGTCTTCGTGTCAGTGGCAGCATCAGACACCTCGCGGGAGCAGGGCGGCCCTTCACGAGGCGCACAGTAGAATTTGAGGAAGCGATTCTGCATCATGTAGAGGCCAATCCGCGTACAAGCGTGCGTGCTATTGCACATGATATGAGAGCGTCTCAAACTACTGCTTGGCGGGTTCTCCATGACCAGCAACTACACGCATACCACCTTTTAAAAGTCCAAGCCATGGGTCCAGATGACTATCTGCCGCGTCGACGTTTTTGTCGTTGGTGGCTGCAGCAGGAGTTGAGGCAACCAAACTTCGGTCGCTACGTTTTGTTCACTGACGAGTCCTGTTTTACAAAGGACGGTTATTTTAATAGCCGTAACAGTCACATTTGGGATGAAGAAAACCCTCATGCCATAGCCATCCATAGAGACCATCATCAGTTTTCAATTAACATCTGGTGCGGCATTGTGGACGAGCATATCATCGGGCCATATTTGCTTCCACCACGTTTGGATGGGCATGCTTATGGTCGATTCTTACAGCATGGGCTACCGTAAAATAGAAAATGTGCCACTGAACATAAGAGCCAACATGTGGTTTCAACACGATGTCGCTCCAGCCCACTTTTCTTTACAAGTGCGGCAGTATTTGAACGACAAATTTCCAAATAGGTGGTGTAGTGGTTCAGTGAGGTGCGCGGCAACTCGGCAACAGTGGACGAAATTGTGGTAGATCGAGCGAGGGGGCAGTTGCCCTTCGCCGCCGAGAGAGGCAACAGGTGACGTGACCATCTTCCGGATTTAAGGATTACCGGGTTCTATGTTTTTTTTAAGTTAGTGAATTATTTTGTGCCTTACTACCATTAAAGTTTGTTAGCCATATCGCCGTCGTTATTACTGAAACCCACGAAAAACCCTGAGTAATATTGTGAAAGCTCGGATCTACTTCATTTGGCGCCCAACTCGTGGCAGTAGAACGGCGTAGCGCGATACGGTTGCAAGGTGTTAGATAGAGAAGGAACGAGACGCGACGAAAACGGTACGCGTAGGTGAAGACGGTTGATTTTCGCGGCACGACGTGACGTAGAAGCAGGCGTTGAGGCGTTGCTGTGTTCAAGCGGCACGAGCCAGGCGGTGTTGTTGATTGCAAGAGGAGTAAGCAGATCTGGGTGAGAAGTCATTTTCATTTTTGGAAAGCTGAGGGTGTGTATGCTGCTGGGGGGTTCTGTACGAGCACCGAGGCGCTGGTAGAGAAGCAGTGAGGCGTTAGGAGATAGCTGGTGGAGCAGAGGGGGATATGAACGATTATTTACTGTGTTGAAACAGTCATTGTAACAAAAAAAAACTTTCCTTGTTTTAGTTTACTGTAGTATTGTAACGATTTGTCGTTTAGGTAAGCTGTAGAAATGTCTAGCAGAAAGTCGCGGAGAGGCAGGGCAGAGAGTACAAAGGAGGTGCAGGAGGACCTTGAGTCTTTAGTTAGAAATTTGGCAATATCAGTGACAGAGTTAAAAAGTACGGTAGGGCAACTAGCTGAGAAGGTGGCAACGTCCGACACACGATATGAGGGCCTGATGTCTGGAATCGAGACAGTGCCGGAGACTGTTTGTACTTCTAAAGGAATAGATGATTGTTCGACTGTAATTAAAGATAGATCCTATATAATAAACTGGAAAGAGTTAGGGGGTGGTAATGTCACATTTTCAAACTATGGGCAAATGCACCCAATGCTATTTTTAAAGAAAATTGAAAAAATATTTAGCGATGCAGGTGTTCCTGAGCATGCGCAGTTGGGTTTAGCTGTTGGTTGCTTAAGAGGTTCGGCGGCCGATTGGGCTAGCGTTAAGGAGGATTGTTTTGCCGACTATGTTTCATTTCGTCTAGCATTTAAAAATAGATTCTGGAGCATTGAAAAACAAAGAGAGTTGTATATGACGTTGGTCTACGGTACGCACTAGTATGGCAGTCGAGCAGATTATTTCTTGAATCTGGTGGCGCAAGCAAAGTTTCTTGATAATAAAATTTCGATGCAAAATGTAATTGGAATGTTGGTAAAACATTTTGATGTGGAAGTCCAGCGGGGCATGATTATTAATAATTTTACGTCGCCTGATACGGTAGAGGAATATCTGAGACGTATTGACGAATTGTCTACTGTGGGGGGTTCGAAGAGGAACATGAATAATGCGCAGGGTTGTAGTAATCGATCTGAAAATAATCGAACAAATTCCGAGCGAGATATATCGAGAGATACGCGGCCGACCGCTAGGGGAAATAATGAGGGACATACCGTGCGTTCACTGGCTTGCATGGGGGATCCAGACATCGATCTTTTAAGCAACCCGGAGGATCTGGTGCAGGATGATGAAAAGGTTTCGCCGACCATATCGATACATATTTTTGGTATGTTGGTAGAAGTATTGATCGACAGCGGCTCAGATATATGCGCAATCTCGGAGAAATTCTATTCAGAGTTAAGCAATCTCGGGAAATTTCCAATTTTACCGGTCATACGAGGAGTGATCTCTGTAGCAATAGGCGGTGAAACGCAGAAGATAAAGTCGCAAATCTTGATTCCAGTTCAATTAGAAGGAATAGATATGGATGTGAACTGTTTGGTTATACCACAACTCAATTGCAATTTGATATTTGGATCAAATTGGTTATCCAAGCATCATGCACGTTTGGATTATCAATATTCACAGCTGAAGCTAATGATAGAAGGGGTTTCCATAAATACGAAGCTGTCATTTCGGATTGATCCGCAGAAAATATCTATAAACCTCTGCGAGAAAAATGATTATGTGTTTGATGTAGTCGAAAATAAAGCTAGCAGGGTTACGCCACTGGTAGAGTACAGCGTTGATGACGGTGATTCCCGCAGTAAAGGCTACAGCGCGAAGGATATTCAGGCAGCAGCAGCGAAAACTACTTTGAGTGGGAGTGCTAAGGCTTCACTTTTAAGTATTTTGGAAAAATATAGGAATACATTCTCTGATACACCGGGACGCGTCGTCAACTATTTTCATCAAATTGAGCTAGTGGATGAAAATGAATTTAATTTTGTGGCTTATCCTGTTCCTATGGTTTATCGGGATGAAGTTAGAAGGCAGATTGGTGAAATGTTAGCGGCCGGTGTTATTCAAAAGGAAAGAACCTACATTTCGCCGTTAGTTTGCGTGAAGAAAAGGGATGGGAATATTCGCGTGTGTTTGGACGCTCGGGGGCTGAACTCAAAGATGAAGAAGGATTTCGTGAATCCTCCCAATCCGTTTGAATTAATGGCCAATTTTATACAGGGGCAAATTATGAGCACAATAGACTTGACGCAAGCATATTGGCAAATTCCAGTGTTGCCGGATCATACCAAATATCTTGGGTTTGTGTTCGAGGGTGAAACATATAGTTTTTGCCGATTGCCATTTGGGTTATCTACTTCCATGGCAAGTCTTATTCGATGCTTAAATAAGATATTGGAGGGCTGTAATGATTTCGCGCAGTCATATGTTGATGATTTATTAATTTACTCGGAGAACATAGCGGAACACTTAAGGCATTTGAAGACGATTTTTCAGAGACTTAGTGATGCCGGAATTACAATTAAACTAAGAAAATGTCAGTTTATTAGGGAAAAGGTACATTTTCTAGGTCATGTGATCACCTCAAGGGGAATCGAAATAGACGAGGGGCGTGTCAAAAATATTTCTGATTTTCCTGTTCCACGAAATATAAGAGAGCTGCGAGGGTTCTTGGGTCTGGTCAATTATGAACATCGATTCTGCGCCGGGTATGCTGTATTGACAGTGCCATTGTTGAAGTTGCTGAAGAAAGGAGAAAAATGGCGCTGGGGAAGCGATGAAATGGAGAGTTTTAGAGCTATTAAGTCAGCCTTCCTAAAGTCCATGATGCTTGTTCATCCTGATTTTAAGCGCACTTTTTATATTCAATGCGATGCTTCCGCATATGCCGTGGGGGGCAGTCTTTACCAGATTAGCGATACGGGGGAGAAACAATATGTTTGCTTCATGAGTTCCGTTTTGAAAGGAAGTCAATTAAACTACACCGTAACGGAAAAGGAAGCTTGGGGGTTGTCTCTTGTTTACGTTTGTGGCGTACGATGGTTCTAGGACAAGATTTGGTGGTTGTTACAGATCATAAAGCACTTAGCTTTTTGATATCATGTAAATTACGTTCGGCAAGGTTGTCGCGCTGGATAATATTTATCCAAGAATTTGATTTCGAGATACGATATTGCAACGGACCTGACAACGTAGTGGCGGATGCTTTGTCGCGGCATCCTTTAAAGGATAAGACGTGCAGTGTTCCAGGTTCTAACGGAAATGCGCAAATTTTGTTAATGAGGCTGAGTGGCGATTTTGCGGAGCTTAAGAAACATTTTAAAACTTTGAGGCGTGATCAGTTGGATGATGAATGGATTAGGGAAAAGATCAGGTTCTTAGAACTTATCACTCGCAATGTTGGGGTATTCTCAGGACGCGAATTTAAAATTTACGAATGGTACGTGCTGCACGAAGGACTTTTATTTAAGAGGGGCGATAGCCGCAATAAGGGCTATAAGCTCTGCGTACCTAAGGCTCAGGTCAAAGAGCTTATCTTAGCGCATCACCAGTCTATGGGGCATTTTGGTAAGGCAAAAACATATGCTTATATGAGATATAGTTTTTATTGGCCTCGCATGCAACGGCACGTTAGGCAGGTGGTCGCGTCATGCGACTTGTGCCAGAAGGCCAAACCTTCGCCAATATCCAAGGCGGAATTGCATCCCATTTTGGTAGACGAACCTGGAAAATTGGTTTGTATAGATCTGATAGGGCCGTTACCTGTAGGACGTGGGGGTGTGACGCAACTCTTCGTTCTTGTCGATGCTTTCACTAAATTCGTCAAGTTATACGCCTTGCGTCGGGCTACTGCGAAAACGTTGCTCAAACGCTTATTCGATGACTACATTCCGTCAGTACAGAAACCTGTGTCCATTTTGTCCGATAATGGAACTCAGTTCACGAGTCATATTTGGAGAAAGCAGTTAGAGGCGGTGGGTATACAACTTAAGTTTATCTCTTGTTATTTTCCCCAGGGTAATCCAACGGAACGTTATAATCGTGAGGTTGGACGTATGTTGAGAACCTATTGCTACGAAGGGCATTCCGCATGGCCAAACAAACTAGCGGATATCGAAAGGTGTCTCAATCGAGCAGTTAACCTAAGCACCGGTTTTGCACCCATATACTTACAGTTTGGACAGATCGACACGAATCCCGTACGGAATTTTGTGGTTTTTCCTGAGCGCTTCGACGTAAACTGTACGACATTGAAGGAGGATACAGGTGTGGCGTATGAAAAACTGAAGAGGGACGCTGCAAAAAGGGTAAAGAGGGCTAAAGTGATGAAACCTGTTACTTTTGACCCGGGCGATAAGGTTCTAGTTAAAACGCATCCTCATTCGTCCGCCGAAGCTAAACTAATTTCTAAATTCTTTTTACTGTATGATGGACCGTATACTGTGTTACAACAAGCGGGACCCAACTCCTATGTCATTGGACATCTTGATGGTAAGATTCGTTCTAAGGAAAATGTAATCAATCTCAAAGCTTATAAGCAGCCTAGCGATGTTGTACTGGAGTAATGTTCCCGGTATTGCCTTGCACCCTCTGCTCTGTTTCAAGACTTAAATCTATGTTACCTCGATTTAAGTGGGGGGTTGTGTAGTGGTTCAGTGAGGTGCGCGGCAACTCGGCAACAGTGGACGAAATTGTGGTAGATCGAGCGAGGGGGCAGTTGCCCTTCGCCGCCGAGAGAGGCAACAGGTGACGTGACCATCTTCCGGATTTAAGGATTACCGGGTTCTATGTTTTTTTTAAGTTAGTGAATTATTTTGTGCCTTACTACCATTAAAGTTTGTTAGCCATATCGCCGTCGTTATTACTGAAAGCCACGAAAAACCCTGAGTAATATTGTGAAAGCTCGGATCTACTTCAGTGGATAGACCGAGGTGGCCTTGTGCCTTGGCCTGCGCGGTCACCCGACCTGACCCCACTGAATTATTTTCTCTGGGGCCATCTGAAAGCTTTAGTGTACGAAACTCCTGTTCCCAACCAACAAGAGCTACTGGGGAGAGTGATGGCCGCGTCCGCACATGTTTAGGACATACTGGGGGTATGCCACAGAGTTCGCCGATCATTAAACAATCGTGCACAGCTGTGTATTGAGCAAGGTGGAGGACACTTTGAGCAATTACTGTAGGTAAGCTGTTTCAAGAAACTGATCTTTTTTTTGCTGCAGCCCAAACGGCATATTTCCGAACAGGGGTTTATAAGGCAAAATTGTTCATTTTGATGCCCTCTACAACCCCCATCATTTTGTCGCAATAATTATGGAACACCCTATATATATATATAAAGAGAATATGATCATGCGGAGAAAGGTATATAACAACAAGTAGGAAAATAATGGGCAAAATCCGCAAAAAGGAGGAAAGTGGATTCGAGCAGAAATACGTATCGCTCGGGTTACCTATCCTATTTTCTGCTCGAATCCACTTTCCTCCTTTTTGCGGATTTTGCCCATTATTTTCCTACTTGTTGTTATATAACTTTCTCCGCATGATCATATTCTCTTTGTAGATCCTTTGGGCTTGAAGTACCACAGCAAGTGGCTATAACCGGCCGCGTGGTGGTGGTTAGACGTCTCCTTGAAAATTCGAGGTCGTATAGCCATTTTATACTACAATGTGTAGGTTGGCTCTTGTTGTAGACTTCGTGTGTTGTGTTTTCCCCTCCAACTTCGTTTCCTCAGGTTACACCCGTATCCGGATGTGTGGGCATGTGTATCTACTTTTGTAGTTTCATATGTGCATTCATTTCGGGCCTGATGAAGCCAACCAGCAGAAATACGTATCGCTCAGGTTACCTATCCTATTTTCTGCTCGAATCCACTTTCCTCCTTTTTGCGGATTTTGCCCATTATTTTCCTACTTGTTGATATATATATATATATATATACAGGGTGACCTCGAAGTTGAGTCATTTATTTTGACAGTGACTAGATCTGATCAAAACAATTGTTTTTTCCTTTAACATTTTTCTGGTAAAATTAAAGTAACAAAGTTATAGCCCTTTAGAAGTTTGAGTACCGCCCTGTCTCAATAATAATATTATGTGCTCGTGTTTGGCAACAACGGATATAATCCGCGTTATCGGTTCATCGCATCGGAAACAAAAAAGCGAAAGAATTTGAAACGTTTATCACGATGTTTTTCGTCAGTCGGTAACGCGTGAGTGAATAGTGGTGTTTGTTGCGTGACTCAAACGAAATAAAAAATGGCACATGTTTACGAAAATGCTGAACTTGACATGATTCTTATTTACAAAATGCTGCCGCGGCATCACGGATTTGTGCGAATCGGTTTCCCAATCGAGTGCAACCAACCCCTCGTGCCTTTGTTAATATAGTACAAAGGGCTCGTGAATCAGGAGACTTAAGACCTTACAGGGGAGGACCTGCCGGTGCTCCAAGACCGCACTGAAATACTTGTCGGGAGGATACTTTATAAAACAAGGTAACATTTTTTTTAATGTTTTTTTATTTTTACACACATATTTTGGTTTATCTTCCTTCTACAATCATTATCTGAAAATTAATGACTCAACTTCAAAGTCACCCTGTATATGCGTAATTATAAATTGCCAAAGCGCAAAGTAGCCATGCAACAACAGTAGCAATTTCACCATCCATACTCGTCAAGAGCGCGAACTATACTGTGAAGCACGCGAACATCTGCGAGTGTGGAACTGTAGGAACAAATTTCGGGATTCGCACCGCGATTGCACGCCGTGAGTCTGGAGAGGGTATAAGACTAATAGGGCCGTATCCTTATCGTCATTCATACACTTCCTTGATATAAATCAAAAAAAGAAAGCAAGAAATTCGCGAATAAATGAGAGTCCCACAGGAACGTGGGCAAGTAGATTTAAATATAAGAATAAGACTTAGTAATGTAATATCAGGTTCATAATATAAATAAATTATCCATATATGGTAAACAGCAATCACAGTTCGTTGAAAGAGTCACAACCAGGTAACGTAATCACAATTTAAGTATACAATCTCAATTAAGAAATCAAACCATGCATAAAATGACATTTATATTGTTTAAAGCAATTTTCTGACGTATCTTTAATCAAATCCAAGCGAATAACCAAAATTTCTGCGTTATGTGCCGCGGTTATAATATGGTTCAAGATGACACACGGGTTGATGACGTCAGTTACACGAATCGCTTGAACGCGTTGGTTTTAACCGCGGTTTTGTTGCAAGTTGTTTATTTTAGAAAAGCGCGTATATAATCTCTGATTATTTTTATTATCACTTAATAATCGGTGCTTTTTCGTCTACAACTGTATATATGGAAAGTTTAAATAAGAAACCTTTCATAATATTCATGGGAGAAATGTTTTTTTCAGATTTTTTTTTAATGATGGCTTTGTAGCTATGATAACTTTCAATTCTCTAAAATTTTCCGCATGTCAAAGAAAACATTTATTGATTCAGCAGAAATGATGAAAAAAGAAATTAGCAAAACCGTTACAGGTGGATATCATCTAGTGAGTTTATATGGCCATATTTTAATATTCTTGTGGTATATGGCTACACAGGATACTTTGTTAAGCATAGGAACTACATTTAAAGTGTCCCCAACAACCGTAATGAGTATAACTAATAAGGTGCTCCACTTTATGGTAAAACTGAAGTCAGCCTGTATCAATTTTCTCAAAAATGAAGTTGAAGTACAATAACAATATCCAATACCCGGCAAAATTCTAACTTGTCACATTTCAAATAATAACCAGAAGTATAAAATTACTCTTGAGTTGGGTAAATACCATAATTTTGCGGTGATCACGAATCAGCTGTTATATGTCATATAACAGCTTATTCGTGACGTCACGGATCTTATAACCAAACTGATAACTACACTCGCTTGAACGGATCGGTAAATAAATACCAACCCAAAATGGTAAATACCATTTCCATTTGGTTATCCGCTTGAATTTGATTTTTGTTCGAGCTAAATTGCTCAGTTTTGATGCGAATTGATATTTGTAACATAACCTTAAAATAGAGCGCTGCCCCTGCCTTTCTGAATGACAGGAAAAACTATGAAAGAAAATCAAGGAGCCATAAAGGTGTCCTACAATGAATTGTAGGAACGACCGACGATACGGCCTTAGGTAAGTGAGCATTATTCCTATTTTCGTAGTTGTTTCAAACGAATGAAACTTGTTACATTTTCGAAACAGCATGAAACAACTGTCCACGGTTGGCCGTCTGTGGTCGGACCAATGAAAGCTATATTACTGTAAATATTAAAAACGACCACAAGAAACCCTGGTATTACAGAAATCAATTTGACGTATAAAGTGAGAACGAACCGCTTATTCAAGTTCAAACTTGTATGGTAAGAACATAAATAACGTAATCTTTTTTAATAAAATTTATTTAAATTATTCATACCTAGCGTTACAGTAAAATTTACATATCTAGAGCAGTTACAGTAAATGTTTTCGACAACTTGGAAATGTAAACTAACAGCGGACAGTGTTTTGGGAAAGTTGTCCTGTCAAGAGAAAACAAAATAGTATTTATAATAGTCCGATGAAGATGGGGAGTAAAAAGAGGGAAGGTATGAATGAATAAAGTTTGACAGTGTTTACCCAAAATTGTGAAACTATTTCTACAAAAAATAAATTTTCAAATTGATAGCTGGCAATAGACAATTTTACAGTAATAATAATAATAATTAAATTGTATAAAAAGATCCAGCTCGAAAAAGACTAGATCATTTTTTGTGTTCGAATCAAACGAAATTTAAAAAATACGTACTTTTCAGGTTTTTTTAAAAGAAAAAGACAAAACGATATCTATGTATGTGAACACCATGTGGTTCTTTGAATAAAGGCTTACAATTTTATGAGAGAAATAATGTTATTGAACAGATAGTATGTGCACTGAAGTATGAAAGGCTATATTACATAAAAAATAGTATGGCGGCAAAATAATAAGACCTTATACTATTACTGGACTCTTAGGAATTCATGTCCGAGGAATTCATTTTAGAATTAAATAAACACTGCCATTTTAGTAGTATAATGAAACTGCAATTATACTGGGGCTCTGACAATCTCATTTTAAATTACCAATTGAACAGCTGCCAATGTTGTATGGGGTCAGACAAAAACACTTGAAAATAGTTGCTTGGTCAAAGTTTGTTGATGTACTTACTTAGTGAAACTTTCCAATTATATGTCTCAAGTTGTATAGTAAAAGTACAAAAGTAATAACAGAAAAAGTTTTAAGACGTTTAGAAAGACGGGATAAAATTTATCAAAATAACTTTTTAAAATGATCACCAAAAAAGCATGATCAAATGATTTTGCTGATATCCAATATACGATATTTTTTAGGAATAACCAAAGGTTTAATGTTTTTCAAAGCCCTCTCTTCAATCACTTTGAACAACGTTTTTAATCTTGTCTTGTGCCTTAACTCACAACTCATAATTAATTCAAAAATGATGAATGATACATTAATACAAGAAAAAAGAGCAACCATTACACCATGTGAAACTGTACGACTGAACTCTCGAAATTACAAAACAACGACACTCAACTTTACATCACTTAAGATATTTAAAGCAATAAAATACCCCAGTAACATTGTCGATCAGTGAACGCATTATGAAATGCATCAATAATTTCTGTGGTGGGGCATACAAGTTTTTAACGTGCATGGTGAATTTTTAGAATCTCACACTTACGGCACCGAATGATACTAAAAAAGCTGTAGTACAAGATATCTCTGAAGGTTTAAAAAGCTCAAAGCAGGTGGCAGTAACTGGGTGATTCATTTAGAAATACCTTTTTAAAAAGAATAAAATGTAAGTACAGTAAACTTTATCGCGTTATCTTTATTATAGATCATAAGAAGTACTCTTGAAATAACTCGACAAAGTACAATCTTCTTGTTTTAGGCTTTTGAAGAAGGTGCCCCTTTCTCATTTAGATGAACCACCCATTACTTTTTGTGGAACTCTGAAAGTTTTTTTATAGTAGCACCTATCTTTTATATGAGTGTTATTGCAGGTCATTGAGTAAAAAACTGTTTTTTCATTATTGAGGTATCATGTGGGAAACCCATCTTCAAGTTTTTGATCATCAACCCATAGTAGGTGTTCTGCCACCTTGGTTTATAGTCAAAACTATTTTTCTGTTAGGCGAATGTCATGTGATCCGTCAGTATTTATCATGTAATCTAAATTTATTTACCGTGTAGCCTGTATGTCAGTAATTATTGAAGCTGACAAGATTTTTACCTAGAAACAAAAGTATACTTTCGCGAAGGTTTTTGAAGTGCGAAATCCGAATACGCGGCCCAAATATTTCGATTGGGTCTAGTTTCCGAGATATACCAACCGAAAAGTGCAAAAATTGCGATTTTTAACTATATCTGACGGTATTTGAAAGGCTTTCCCTTTTTCTAGTATTCTGCGATGACGCCTATAGTATGGTTTGGTTTGGAAAAAAATAATTCGCAAACAAAAATCGCTATATTTGCACCTTCAGGTTGGTTTATCTCGGAAACTAGAGCCAACTGAGAAATTTGGACCACGGATTCTGATTCAGCGCATCAAAAATCTCCTGGAAAGTATATTGATTTCTGGGTAAGAGGGTTGGCTCATTTTTGTCGGCTTTTGTAATTTAAGATGGCAAAACTCTTTCAAAAGTCCAAAAACCGACTTCAAACTTCCCTTCACTGAACTTCAATGATAGTAAAAAACATTATTTCTTATTCAACAATCCAATACGAGGATAAGGTGAAAAGTTCTCAGCTTGAGAAAAACATGACGGAAAATAAGCGAACATTTATAATTTGTCATTTTGTTTGTTTGACAAGTTAGAACTTGTTTTTTCAAATGGCTGGTCTAAATCAGATGTTCTTAAGCTTATTCCATCTACTGCCATCTTTGTGAATCATTAGTTCTCTAGCGCCCCCGAAATTGTTCAGGTAGCAGTGTCCATCTCGAGGGAGGTATCTGCGATTGAAAACTGAAGAGCGGGGGGTAGGGGGTGGCGGCATCGTCTGCCACATCAGAGCTTCTGAGGACGAATGCATGCCCTTACAATTGAAGAGCGGGGAGGTTCCGAAATTAAAACTAAAGAGAGAGTGGGGGTCATCTGCCTCAGTGCTTCAATTCATCGCCTTCCAGTTTCAACCCCCCGTAGGTGCACAGCGCCAGAAGGAGGCGTTGACGCCCATTTTGAGAAATACTAGTTTATATGAATTTTTGAAGTGAATGTCTTGTGTGGTTTTGTATTGTAAAGTATGAGGTGCTAAGGACATTTTTCCAAGTTGCTCCTTCGATGTCAATTGTTAAAAAGTATGCAGCTGAACTTAAACGTTATCGTACATCCCCCACGCCAGAAAGAAAACAGCAGTCGAAACAGGGGGGTCAGCGCCCAAGTAGAGAAGTCGATTAGCCAGTGTGATTTAAGATGCGAAAGAGATTGTTAATTGAATGCATTGGAAAGCGTAGAACAATAACGGGCGAAAACTATTCAAACTTCCTTGATTTACTGGATGCCAAAAGTTGTGAGAAGAGGCCTGGCTTGAAGATCATTTTTTCAACGGGACAACGTAGCTGTTCACAAAGGTATTTCAACAATGCGAGAAGGATTTGGGGTATGACTTGGTCGACCCTCCCTAGTCTCTTGATTTAATACCGTCAAGACTTCTATATGGGCGCAGATTTGAAGAAATCTCTTTCTGGAAAGCGCTTTAGGTCCGATGAAGTTGACTGATATTTTGCCAGCTTTCTAGACTTACATTTCTGAGAAGGAATCCTAAGGATGGAGAAACGTTGGACGATGCGTATTGGAGTCAAAGAGGATTATGAAAAAATGAAACTTTTTTCAACTGAAAATTGTAGTATTTCATTGCCACGTCAAGAACTTTTCAACCTACCCTCGTATACTGGACTATATTGGGTTCCAACTGATTCAGTCAAAATGTCACTGGGGTTTTTTCGATTTACGATGAATCAGAACACATTCATAGGAATAAAATATAAATACTCCCATTTCGAGTAGCAGCAACTTATAACATACGAAGAAGAAATAAGAGACAACAGAAACAAAAAAATGCAAGAGCAAATATTAAACAAACTTTTTTATTGAACTAAAAATTTCCTCAAATTGCTAACGCATAATTTCAGAGGTTTGGAGTTACGAGATCGACGGATGAAAAAAAAATTCTCGCGTTGCTTGATTTGATTCTGGAACAGATAAAAACTCCTTTTAGTACAGGAACTGGTACGGAATGAGTACATAAAACTGAGTACCAAACTTAATAGACAAGGCGAAAACCTCACATTTATCAACATGAATCAATATATCAGGTTGTGGAAAAAACTAAAAAATTGCCTGGACTATAAAAAGTTTTTGTAATTTGTATGAAAAATTGTTTAAGCAGATTTGTATCAGTTTACCACCTGGCAACCCCCAGATTCATGTTAAGGGGCACCCACAAACGTGAAGTGAAATCTCATTTGTTCCACAAATGCAAGATTAACACCTCGTCTGCACACTCAACTCCTCCCAAGGCTTGTACTAAATACATAATTGCAATAATATATACTGTATAAAAAGTTACATTAACGACATACGAAACCAATTGAAACGAGTTTTAGCAATTCGAGAATCAAACCGACTATTTAATTGTTTTAGTTTTCCTTCATTTGTTTTTTAAATGTAATACAATCACTATACTAACATTCTTCCTGCTCTTGTGATTTCCGAACACATCTTGCTACCTTCCTTTTGAATTCTGAATACGACTCCCTCCATTCTTTCTGAAACATTAAAACAGACATATCTCAGATTCAGAATGATTGGCAGAATGAAGTCGTTCGTTTGTTATGGCCATGAATGACAGAATGAATAAATTAGAGGCAATGGCGACTAGGCAAACGTTTTTTTCACTTTCGGGAATACGTATAGAAAAATATTGCTCTGTGGTAGCTTAAATATTTTGAGAATAACTTCTGTTTTCACACACTTGAATCACACTTTTCGCAAGTGCTCTCCACCGTGGCAATTGCCGAGGTGGCGAAACCAGTTGTCTGTTGAAGCTGATGAAATATATCTGAAAAAATAAACCTGGAAACGCAAGATTCTGAGATTATTCAGATGGTGAATTGAATCAGAATTAGCTGTATTCAAAACTGGTCTTATAAAACCTTGAATAATTTATTTCATACTATCCCGACTCTTCCAAATTTTAGAAGACTTTTGCACTTTATAGAGTAGGTGATGGCGAGCATCCTTAGGAAAAATAATATTTTCGGTGAACTTCAAAAGGATATTATTTCGATTAAGGTAGGGTTGTAATTACAATTACATAGCATATAATTGTAGAACAAAAAATAACTTTTCTAGAAGATTTGTCTTGACAGATATACAGGGTGTTTCAGTTTATTGTTGCATAACTTTAAGATTCGATAGAACTTTTAAAATTAATGCATAAAGTCTATATAAACATGGGTCGAAAAATGCGTGGCATCCGAAATACAGGGTGTTTAAATTTACTTTGTAAAATAGTTTTTTTTTTGAATATTTCGAACAATATTTGTATAACAGTGAAAATTGGTATACAAGGGTTTTTTGGTACGACAAAACGAACCATGGGCATAGTTTTACTGTAGCCGCTAGAGGGCGCTCTCTACTGTACCTGTAGTGTATTAAAATGACCGAAATTTTTTTCTTAGTGCAATTTTTTGCTTTTTGTATAAAAAACTGATTGTTCGCACTTTTCAACATAAAAAAGCTCCCTTCTGAATTTTCGTTATAGTTAGCCGTTTTTGAGATATTTCGATTATTAAGGTTCGATGCATTTTTAATTATTTATGATAAAATAACGTTAAAAAGTCAGTATCTCGATAATTTTTAGAAGTAGGCTGTGCCTGCAAATATTTTTGAAATTGAAAGCAGAATAAGGTTAAACGTCAATTAGTTGACAGTTAGTTGAAGAAGCAGCCAGATAACACGCACGAAGATTTCCAAACAGACGACATCCAACTCGCTCAGTATTTGTAAGAGTGCGTCGCCAAATAATTGAAAATAGTTTTGGAAATCTCCAAAGGGATCAAAACATAAATGTTCGTCAGCGCAGATTTACCCGTATGATTCTGCGTGAGTTTGATAGAGATCCGACCACAAGCGTTAGGAGAGTTTCTGGTGCCCTGGGAATTTCAGCAAGCCATGTTCACTGTGTTCTTAGAAATGACCATAGACGTCCTTACCATTTGCAACCTGTGCAAGGTCTACAGCCAGGGGACGAAGAACGAAGAATCACATTTTGTCAGTGGATTCTTGATGGAACTGATAATAATAGGGAGTTTTTAAGTAACGTTTTATGGACCGATGAGTCATGCTTCACTAGACGTGGACTGGTAAATTTTCATAATAAACATATTTGGTCGCATGAAAATCCGCATGCAGTTCGGGAAAGAAATTTTCAGCATGAATTTAGTGTGAACGTGTGGATTGGTATCTACCGTAATCGACTATTTGGGCCCTACCTTTTGCCTGCAAGGTTAAATGCTGCGACCATTTTGGAATTTTTAAAGGCTGAACATGCAAATATGTGGGATGATGTTATGTTAGATTTAAGAAGATTGGGCTGGTTCCAGCTTGATTATTCGAGAATAGTTAGAAACTGGCTGGACGAAAATTATCCAGAAAGATGGATCGGCCGTGGAGGAGCAGTCGCCTGGCCTCCACGATCCCCTGACCTAAATCCATTAGATTTCTTTGTGTGGCGATTTCTAAAAGTATTAGTGTACTAGACTCCCGTAACCACAAGAGATATGCTAATAGACAGAATCAGGAATGCATGTGATGAAATAAGGACTTATTTGAATAATGCTATACCACGTTCGATCATTCGTAGATGTGAATTGTGTATTGAACAATTGGGTTTACATTTTGAGCAACTACTTTAGATTTTGTATGTTTGTCCTAACTATCAAATAGCATTTTAGTTGTAAATAATTAATTTAATTTGTTAAAAATAATATTGGAAAATTAAACAAATTAATATTCTGTTTTTTGTGTGTTTATTTGGAGTTAGGAATTATTGCTGTGTTCAAAAACACAATCTAAACGATCATCTTAATTACTTGTAATGCCCAAATCGAAAATGTAAAAAAAAATATTATTTTCCCATAAATAATTAAAAATGCATCGAACCTTAAAAATCGAAATATCTCAAAAGCTTTTTTATGTTGAAAAGTGCGAAGAATCAGTTTTTTTATTCAAAAGCAAAAAATGCACTAAGAAAAATGTTTCGGTCATTTTAATACACTACAGGTACAGTAGAGAGCGCCCTCTAGAGGCTACAGTAAAACTATGGTTCGTTTTGCCGTACCAAAAAACCCTTGTATACCAATTTTCACTGTGATACATCAAATATTGTTCGAAATATTTAAAAAAAACTATTTTAGAAAGTAAATTTAAACTCCCTGTATTTAGGAAGCCACGCATTTTTCGACCCATGTTTATATAGACTTTATGCATTCATTTTAAAAGTTCTATCGAATCTTAAAGTTATGCAACAATAAACTGAAACACCCTGTATAGATAATACAATAATACAATCTTTATGCAATCTATTGTAAAAACCATTACAACCCCTTTAGAATCAGCCCTGAAAATTTCAGTATGCTACGATACGTGCCTCATGTCATGATAAATATAAGAAACGCAATAGATTCTTCCACCTCAAGTTCAGAATGTATTGTGCTTCCCCGCTGTTTATGGCGATGTATCGATACATGTGGAAGATACCTTAATTTAACGTGAAATCGCCTCCTATACGGTGAGGTTCAAATTGGGCTGACGTCGCAATGTGTACCAGAGAGAAGCGTACAAAATGTATGTTAGGAAGAGTGCACCGATGGCAACGTGGCAGGCCGCAGCTGCGTCCGTGGCCTCGGCACTCGGGTTGCTAGGCAACAAGGTGCTTCTATCTCTTTCTAACACACGCATTGCACGTTTCTTGCGCTTCTCTCTCGTACACATTACGACGTCAGTGGTATATGGATTTCACTGTATACACAAGCGATACCTAATAAAATTGTCTTTTAGGCCGCTATCGTCAGTCGTTCCTACAATTGTAGGACGCCTTTATGACCTCATTGATTGTCATACTCCTTTCTCTCCTTCAAGAATTTCTAGATTGCACCTGTTCTGTGTCAGCGCTCTCCTATTGTGAAGATATGTTTTCTTTTTAAATTGTAGCAAATTTCAGGCTGATAAAACATGATATAACTCAAAAGCATGCACAATTTGATGCAAATGGATATTTGTGCCATAACGTCAAAATAGAGAGCTGACACGGAAAAGTAGAAAACTATGACAATCAAGTTGGCCATAAAGGCGCCTTACAATTGTAGGAACGACTAACGATACGGGCCTTAGTCCCTGAAATGATTCATTTTCCATAATGTTTATTTTTGTCGCTTTAATTTTTTGGATTCAGATACTTATCTAAAAATATAGAGGCTTTAAATTTGATGACTTTGGATGCCATCGCATAGGTCCACCTCTACTTATGCAATGGCCAGGAAAGACACTGTCCAAATGAGGTGCCATCGCATTGATAATAGATGCAGCTCCGAACGTCCAAAGGTATCATCGAACATGTCGGGCAATTCATATGGTCCAATTAACTTCTTGTTCAATACCCCTACCCATAAATTAACCCCAAACTGGCGTTGAAAGCTGTGTCGGCGAACACCGTGCGGATTGTTCACGCTGCATGAATGGAACTGCGCATATTTTGTTTGTTTGTTTAAGATTTATTTAGCATGATTGCTACAATTACATTCTTCTAAAAAACTAAACAATTATATAACATACAGACATTCAGAAAAAAATTGCATCTCTAAGAATTTTCATTGTCCATCAAATATTCATTTTATCATTAGTTAGTTTATTAAATTCAAGTAATCCTTTCTGAAATATTGATTTGCTAGTTATATTACTATTGGAATTTTGTAAATGAAAATCTATATTTCCTCTTGTATAATAATTGTGGTAATGATTATTCAATTCTATGTAGTGTTCTAAATATTCTGGCAAAAGACGATTTTTTATTTTAAATATAAAAATAAGAACCAAATATGACATGAAATTTTTTATATTCAACCACTGTAATTCTTGTAACATAGATTTTATTTTGGTGTACTTATTTTTATTCAATATTATTCTCATAGCTTTATTTTGCAAGACTTGTAATTTTGAGAATACAGCTTCATTGGCAGTGAACAAGATAGTTGAACAATATAGTAAATGCAGTAGAATAATTGTATTATAAAATATTTTCTTGGAATAGGTACCAAGACTATGAGAAGCCCTATAAAAGTAATTTGTTTTTTTTTTGTCAATTTTTGAAATAATGTATTATTCATAGTGATCCTCAAACTTTAGTTTACTATCAATATATATATATATATATATACCTAAATATTTAATTGATGTAACACTTTAAATTATTTCTTCATTTATCCTAACTGTGATAGTATTTTCATTTAGGTATTTCACTATTAGCATACATTTTGTTTTAGAAGTATTCAATTTTAGTTTATTTACATTTAACCAATTTACGATTTTTGCCAAGTCAGAATTTAGCATTTTTAAAGCAGTGTCTATATTTTCATCTGATATGTATATTAATGTATCATCTGCAAATATCTGAAGTTTACAATAATCTCAAATATTAAAAATGTAATTAATGTATAAAATAAATAGTAGTGGACCTAGTTGGTATACCAACTGAAATATTTTTCTTCCTGAATCCAGCTTGAAATTTGGTTAAAATGTTATTCCCCTCAATAAATTCGATGATCTGTTCGTAAATCATTTCTTCAAAAACTTTTTCAACTTCTGGAAGAAATTGAATATTGTATTTCGGTTAAGGTTTAAATCATCTGTCCATAAATGCGATCGAAAAAGTTTTCGGCATCATTGCACCTTCTCAACATGTCCTGACAAAACTCAATCGGTTGTGCATTACTTGGAAGCAATTCTTGTACATTTTGTATGTGGTAAGGATGCATGTTCTTCTTGTAGTATTGCATGCACTAGTATGAGATGTCTCTGCTTCAGGCAATACGAGGAATGTTTAAGTTTTGCATATGGAAATAAAACAACACGGTAGGTAGTAGTAGTAGTACTCGAACCAATTTTCGAAGCACTTATTCCACTCGTTTGCTGGCAGATCGAAAACGGCATTTTTGAATGCGTCAACTGCTTCTTCTGGTGACTGGAACCTTTGACCACGCAGTCTGTTTTTAATTTTCGGGAACGTAAAGAAATCGTTAGGACTTATATCGGGACTATAATATGGAGGATGGTCCAATAATTCCACGTTTTCTTCCGTTAAATACTGCCTTGTTTTTTGGGCTGTGTGCGAGCTTGCATTGTCTTGGTGGAGGATGATTCTTCTTTCGGGGTTGATTTTTCGAAGCTCGGTGATGACTTTTGGCAAACAAATCGTGATATACCAATGCGCAGTAACAGTTATTTGCTCATTAAGAGGAATTGTTGCAATAATATGACCCGCTTTTGACACAAATGTCGCGACCATCCTTTTCGAAACACTTCGAGAACGGATGACTTTTGTTGGCTTTTCTTCACCTTAGAACAACCAAACAGCCGACTGTCGTTTATTTTCTGGTTCATAACAGTGAATCCACGATTCATCACCACTAGCCATGCTGTCTACATTTTTTGAGTTTCCGGAATTGAAACAGTCAAGCGTTTTTTGACACCAATTAACCCTGGCTGCTTTCTGCTCTTCAGTCAACAGGTGGGGTATCCTACGAGAATCTAATTTTCTTACTCCTAATTCTTCATGTAAAATTTTTTGAATTGAGGTCTTTGAGATCTTCAAGGACGCCTCAATCTCGCGATGTCACATGTCTAGCTTCAATGATGAGTTTGCGCACAGCATCGACGTTTTCCTGGGTGACTGCCGTTTTTGGCGCACCCAGCCTGGGATCGTCGCTAAGACTCACCCGTCCACGTTTTAATTCATACCAACGGGAAATTTTCGACTGAAGTGGCGCTTCGTTGCCGAAAACAGACAGTAACTCAGCAAGGCATTCTTGTTGCGATAATTCTCTCTGAAAGATGTAATAAATTATGGCGCGAAACTGTTCTCGTTGAGTTCCATTTTTCTAATGACTTGGTGACACTTAAAAATTCACTGTAGTGAGAACACAGCACGTATTGTTGCGAAACTTTGAATTTAAGTTTACTAAAGAGTGAGATTAAGATTGAGTACTGACGTTCATTCCGCGCGGCCTACTATGTTTCTATATGCAAAAGTTAAAGACATCCCTCGTAGCCATGGTGCATATCGAGGGATCTCTCTGGGCTTCTTCTATTGTATGTTCTATTTCTTCTGGGACTATCCTCGGCACTAAATAACGATTTGTGCCTGGTATGCGGCCCTCCATATACGCATTATTGACGCATAGAAAAACACAGTGATCGAGATATACCGCCGGTTGAGGTCCACCTCTCTTAGGGCAATACTATAATAGTAATGCATTTCTGCATAATATGAGAGTATGACACGATTCTACGAAAATGCCAAACGTACAAGGTAAAATCCGCGCTGAACCATTGACAGACTTACTAATTTGATTGAGTTATTTGCGTAAAAAATCTGCCATTTTGATTTTACAAAATTTTAACACACCTATTATCACTCATACTGCTTAGAAGAATCTAACAACACCTCATATGTGAAAATGCTTCAAGCCGTTTGGACTGTAGCCCGTAAATTAGAATTTCTTGTTTATATAATTATAATGGGTGGGCCATTTAAAAGTTTCGATTTAAAAATAAAATAAAACAAAAACGGTTTGAGATATTGCCAAATTTATTTTTTTGTTTTGAAGTACAATTGTTCCGCTCAGAAATGAAATATTACTTCATTCAAATGGCTGCCGCGGCTGGCCTCACAGTAGCCCATTCGATCGGACCAATTTTCGAGCACTTTTTCGAGTGTTTGGGGCCGTATCTCGTCAATGGCATCACGAATGTTGGCCTTCAAATGGTCAATTGTCTCTGGATGGTCGACATAACACTTGTCTTTAACAGCGCCCCACAGGAAATAGTCCAATGGTGTCAAATCGCAGCTTCTTGGCGGCCAATTGACATCACCATTTCGACTGATTAAACGGCCATCGAAGGTTTCGCGCAATAAGTTGATTGTCTTCAAAGAAATATGGGCCAATGATGCCTCCGCTCCACAATCCACACCAAACAGTCACTCGCAAGGGATGCATTGGCTTCTCTAAGACCTCGTGTGGGTTTTCCGAGCCCCAGATACGGCAATTTTGCTTATTGACGTAGCCACCAATATGAAAATGAGCTTCTTCTGAAAAGATTATTTTTTTCGCAAAATCGACATCATTGATTAGTTGCTCGTTGGCCCATGTAGCGAAGGCAGAACGAAGTGGATGGTCACGCGGCTTCAACTCTTGAACCAATTGAACTTTGTAAGGCGTCATACCGAGATCTTTCCGCAAAATTCGTCGTAAACTGGTGCGGGAAATGTTCAATTCTTGGGAACGATGACGTGTTGACGTTGATGGATTTTCACGCACACTCGCAGCCACAGCATCGATACCTTCGGGTGTACGCACTGTACGAGCACGCTGACGTGTTGGAGCATCAACAATGAAACCAGTTTCACGCACTTTATTAATAAACTTGCGTATACCGGGCGCTGTTGGTGCTTCGTTGCGACCGAATTTTGAACGGCATTTTCGTGCAATTTCTGCCCAATTGTCTTTGTTTTGGAAATAAATTTCCAATATTACCCAACGTTGCTCAAGCGTAAATCGATTCATTTCGTTCAGCGGAGATAATATACTGAATTTTATGACAAATCAGATTGACATAAGTATTGTCAGCGTCAAATTAACACGTGGTTCAAATCGAAACCGATAGATGGCCCACCCGTTACATACCCACCCACGAACAGCACAGATTTTTAAACGTGAGGAATTTATCATAGCATAAAAACATTTTGAGGGCTGATTCTACAAGGACTGAAATAGTTTCTACAATAAAATGCATAATGAAATAGAACCCCAACTTCTTTACAAAATGATAAAAACATTAGTATGACCAACTATTTATTCCTTAACAGGAAAAGAAGTTGCAGCCCTAGATCTAAAAGTTTAATTGTACTTGCACTACTGAACTATAAAATATCGGAACACATTCTTAGGGGTTCAATCAATGGGTATTGAGGCCCCCTTATTATCTGACCTTCGTTGATTGACCAATAATTTTACACCTTGTATATATCACTTTCAATTTTTGTTTTAATTTCATTTTTATCTCTATCTTGCCAAATGATTGTGGTATCGTCAGCAAAAACTATGAATTTGCCATTTATGTTTAAATTTATTGATTCGCTGAAATGCACTAAGAATAAAACTGGTCCCAGTAGATCCTTGACGTACACCTGCGTCTAAAGGTGGGGTCAATCCATATCCTGTCTTGATAAATAAATATTGCAAGTCATTTCTAAATTCTCAGTAATTACTTACAGTTCACAAAAAAAAACCCAAACATTTTTTACTTTCCACAATAGTTAACAAAGCGAGAAAAAGCAGAGGCGCGAGATGAGTTGCCGGAAGCAGAAATATCAAAAGTGGTGTTTTTGGTGCCATCTGGCGATAACAAGTGGTGTCCGCGTATCGACATTTTTTAAAAAAATTCAAACTAAATACCTACTTTATTGGCCTTTCATTTCTCCAGAGTTTATCAAATCAACACAAAATCTCGGAAAACTATCTATGTAGCCTGGCCTTAAACGCCGAACAAAAATGAAATTTTAGTCTTGGGGCCATGCAAAATTTGGAGTCACGATTCTCAAAGTACAAATTTTCTCTGTTCAGTCCAATTTTTACCTTCATTTTCCAGTAGCTTGTTCTTGACACAACGTTTTTGATGTAAAAATAAAAGTGTAGCTTACCGCCGCATCAACGTTGGCGGGCGATTCATCGTTGGGATCAGCTAACATTGAAATAACAGAAATTAGAATAGTTTCTACAGTATGCACGGGCAGCCACCGTTCAGAAGCTTTTTCATATCCAAACTTGTCGTCTCCCGGCTCGTGAAGGATTGATATACATACATCTCCATTTTTATCAACTGCAAAAAATACAGTAATATGAACTTAGCCAAATTCTGATTGCTGTAAGTAGTATTTTACAAAGATCATGTTGGTTTAAATTTTTTGAATACATCAATTCTACACATATTGTTTTTATTTAAAATGCCAATGTGTAGCACTTTATAATGAATGTTACGTTACTCACTATTTGGATGCCAGATCTCTGTTACAAACTTCATTTTTGGTGGCCTAAGTGGATATTCTTTAGGGAAATATAGGTGACATTTAAAAAAGCCACCTTCACTGAAAAAAAAATGATATTGATAATTCTTCTGTTAGTAGTGTCAGTAGTCAGAACAATACTCATTGATATGAAAAAAATAGATAAGTTTCACTGTTTAAAATAATGTGTGTTCATTGTGATTAAACTTATCTAGAATAGCTTCTAGAAAGTGTACAAAGTGTGTCCCAAATGTTGGGACTTTCGTTTTCAGAAGAAACTGCATTTGAAACAACGAACTTAGTTTACCATAAAATAGAGCTGAAAACGTTGGTACAGCATTTCAAGTACTGTCCTGTCACATGTTTTGTTTGCAATTACTGCTTGCAGTTGTCGTTCAAAAATATGGGTTTGTTTATACTTTTTCCTAAATTTGCCTCATCTGAGGCTGTCTAGGTCTTCTACTGCATCCACCCAGTTGGCTTCTGCACAATACAAACAAACCTATGCAGCTCTAATGGAAATATCAAGGACGGCGGCGACCTTGAAGATGCTCACAGTATGCCGTATTGCTGTATGAATGTGTCAATTTTGGTTTTCAAATGCGGTTTGGTTATAAACTGGGTTAAACTAATTGTAAATAACTTTTATAGTGTGGAAGAATATTGTGATATATGACATTAAGGCTCATTATTTACTCTTTGACTGTTCTTTGTTAGATATAGGTTTTTAGATTCGAGTTGAAAATGTATGATTACTCCTATACAATGTCTTTTGTTGAGGGGAAATAATAAACCTAAACACTGTCTGATTTGGATATTGAGTATGTAAAATTTTTTTACATTCACTACTTTTCATATTTATTAAAACAATATCAAAATAGGACTCCAACTTTATGACTTTCCTCTACTACAATTAGAAAAATCATTAAAGACATAATTATAATTTTTTCTTAGGAAAAGGATGAGTTCAATGTATGAATCATGAATCATTGAACTTTTACTTACTAGAGTGTATCTGGTGGTCCTATGATGAGCACTTCCCATCGATATATGTCATTGTCATCTATAAGGCCTGCAGAAAAACCCTCCACAGGGTTTTTGTTCAATTCTACAACAAATTTCAAACTCAAATAAACCAGAAATGTTGAAATTTCTTAGGATTCTGTTCAAGGTCGTCAGAATTACTAACATACACAAAAGAGATAAGTATAACCTTGTGGCTCGAATATGCTTTTCTTCTAGGAAATATTATACACGCAGTTTTTCTCGATGAAAAAACGTTCATGCGTTTGCTAAATAATTTTATAATAGATATTGAAGGTTGAAGTATTTGGAAAACAAAGTGTTGACACATTATTGTGGTTTTGCAATTATTATAACATTCCAGTATCATTTGGTAGATATGAGGTTGCTTCTCGCGTGGTTTTAACAAAGAAACATGCTGCTTGGTGTGTTTTTCAGGTTCCTTTCCGAAGTTACACTAGACACTAGACTTCTCCGCATGAATTTGACATGTACAATGAGAAAAAGTACTTGACACTTTATTGATTTTCGCCAATATCTGTATTAATTTTGAATGATACCAAAGAGAAATCGCTCGTTTTCCGAAAAAATGTATTCGGCAAACTATTTTTGGAAATGCTAGAGAAGCTGCATTAAATCCAACTTTTACGAGGACGTTTCAAAAGCCACAAATTAACCCATCCTATTTTTACGCGAGTAGTTATGTTGTCAAAGGGGTACGAAAACGTGGGTTTCTACTAACCTGCTAGTTGTTTTCTTAATAAAAGAGCTGACTGTGGTTCTGACATTAATTACAAATTTAATTTTGATACTGAAATTATCAAACCAAACACTGTTCTCTAAAATGGCCGGTGTCGTTCTTAAATGTTGCGGACCGCATCGAGTCAAACATATGTTATTTCGGGAAAGAACTCTGCTTCGCTGTTCCACTGTTTCAACTGTCAAATGTCAAGCGGCATCTAGCTGATATTAGCAGAAAGTTTCGTCATTACACACGTAGTTGAGAGCGACCGCAGAGATGGGCGTAACAGAAATGATCACAGTGATTTGTCGTGTTTTTATAGTCCAGTTTAATTCATATCGAAGCAAGAAGCGCTTTATGCGAGGAACGGATTGGAGCAGGTCGACCTGGTTTAAAATTGCAAATAACAATACAAAGATACAAGAATTTTTGCGGCAAAATACATCGTGTCACTACAATGGCCAATATAAATATTGCTCTGGGGAGGACACCAGGCTGTTCGCTATTAATTTTTTGTCATGAAGCATGCCGCAGGTATCACAATTTCAAGACTGTTCAAACTTTATTAAAGATTTCAAAAATTCTTTTGGAGCTGCAATCTATACATACATCCGTTTCTTGGGTAAATCTGGTGTGTATTTTTGGGCAAAAATCTGATGTTAGCTTCTTGCTAAGACTGACGAGGTTCAGAAAAGCTCTACGCTAAATACGACTTTGCCACACCTTCACGCCCATATATTCGAAATGCACCACAAATTATACCCGTATTTCGAGTTTCTTTTACATAACAGGGCTCCGGCGATCCTAATAGTGAAAAATTGTTTCGAGGATTATGTTCAGTACATGAGTAAGGTGTTGTTTCTATGGCATAGTAATTTATTTTTGTGTGTCCGCTCTCTCGAAGATTTTGTTCGAATAGTTATCTGAAGTTCATGCATACATTATACATTGCTTATGTACGAGGGTGGTATCAGTAGTTTCCGACCTCAACGTGCAGATGGCAGAACTCGTAAATAAAAGCTAGTGAATTTCGTTGTTCATCTGTTGACAGTTACTCACCAAAGGTTCTGCCATTTTGGACGGGCAGTTGTTATGTAACAGTGGTTTGAGTGAGTTGATGTGAGTGTTTTTTTGAAAGTGGACAAAATCGAGTATCGAGCTGACATTAAATATTTGTTTTTGAAAGGTAATACGCCTACGCAAATCAAAGATGAGTTGCATTCTGTGTATGGGGACTCTGTACCTTCATTTACCACAATAAAATTTTGGGCAGCTGAATTTAAAGAGCTTGGGAGGCGTTGAACGTTCGGGACGTTCAAAAACTGCAACTACCGACGAAAACATAGCCAAAGCTCACCAAATGGTGCTAGACGACCGCCGAATTAAAGTGAGAGAGATAGCAGACGGCCACATTTGCTGAAAGAGAAAATCCTGTTTCACCAAGACAACGCACCGTCTCACACCTCAGCGGTTGCCATGGTGAAAATCCACGAATTACGGTATGAACTGCTTGACCATCCGCCTTACTCACCAGATTCTATTTGCTCCATCATCTAAAAATTGTGTTCGGAGGCCAGAGATTTTCTTGAAATGAAGAGACAATCACCTTCGTGAACAATTGTTTTGCAGAGAAAAACGCCGAATACTATTTGAACGGGTTACAGAGAAGGGAACATCGTTGAGTGAAGTGTGTAGAGTTACATGGAGACTATGTTGAAAGATAAAAAAAAGTCAAAAAAATGTCTTGTGTCTTTGTTAGGTCGGAAGCTTTTCAGACAACCCTCGTATAGACGGTAATGTCAGTAAATTAACCACGTCTAACTATAAACTCTGGCTCGTTATGTAACGAAAAGAATTTGGTGGGCAGCATTGTTGCCTGTCAACCAAATATTCGTTTATTTCAAACGCAAGTGCATTAGGCACCTTAGTAACAGTTTTTGGTTGTTCTTTTCTTCATCATGTCATAGATGACTGCAATCATAGAAAAAAGGTGTTAATAAAATCGTTTAGCTTTCAATTAGAATGAATTGACAGTTACTTTTTCCACGGAACAAGAAATTTGAGAAATGCATTTGTGGTTAGAGATGGGGCGTCCCATTTTTAGAACAGTGATTCAATGTTATAGCTCAGTCATCTTAGTGACATTGACTCGTAAAGGCCATATTGATGTGATGTCAAACATCTAGAAATTATGAAGAAAAGAATTCACTCTTTCCGCTGCCATATCGTCAATTTTTAGAATAAAGCGAGCCATTTTTTGTTTCACCGGGTAATAATGCTTCAAGTAAAGCACGTAGTAAATAATTATCATTTATTTATACAAATGTAACATACACCCACTCATAATAGCAGTCTCTCAATGTACACAATTAACAGTACCTTTACAAACTTTCTATAGTAGTACAACTACTCAAGTATCATCGCTGTTCAAGTGCTTTACAAAATGATTTACATGAAGTCTTCGAAACAAGGTTTACCAGTGTTCAGATACAAAAGGTAGGTCACGCCAGCTTTTTTGCTTAAATCTATGTAAATATTGAATCCGTTTTGGCTATGCGAATGAGGATAAAAGTATATCAAATAATCACACTGGAGATGTATTAATCAGAAATTATGTATGTGCAAAAACCGTTGGATGATTTTTATGATTGATTAACTACTAACGCCATTTATAACAGTGTCAGAACATAAACGTGAATTTAGAAATCTTCTTTTAAAAGAGTTTTGTTCTGCTACCGTCTCTTCATGGCTCTGAATCATGAACCCTTTTTTTTGGGCCTTTCTGATACCTATTTTAATGGGATATCTTGGTGGAGCACCTTAATCACCGCCTGAAGATACCCAAATGAAATAGGAATTAGAGAGGCGCCAAAAAGGGACTGAAGATCCTAGCGTCATATATAAGATAGTAGCAGAACCCAAGCGTTCTCACTATGTCAAAGTCGATTTCTAAATTCATTTTCGTGTTTTGCTACTCTCTCATAGATGGCACTAGTATCTTTAAAATATCATTTCGGCTATTTTCAGGTTGTTTTTATCCAACTTTTTTGGTCAATATACTTTTTATTATGTCCACAAGTCCACATAAACTCTACTCGGGCTGAATATTCTTGTTTTAGGTATATACAATCTTCGTTCACAGTTTACACAAAAGAAATAAGTTTTTAGTCTTAAAATCACACATACTTATCTAAATTGTACAATATCGAAACCATTGAACGTTTCACGATTTTTACAATCTGTAGTTGTGCTAAGTAATGGTACGTAGGTATGTAACACGATTGCTATGAGTAATTTTTTAAAACTTATCCAGAAATGTGTTTTCCTTGCGAATGATTTGGTTTTAATAACACAGCCATACAAATAACGTGTAAATAAAGAATTATTTGACGAGTCACGTATGGTCAGACGTCTGTCGTGATTGTTTCAGTATTCGAGATTTATGTAAGTTAAGAATAATAAAAAACTAATGTAAGAAAAAGTACCTACAGTTTCAACATTTTGTATAAGTTATGCTGAGAAATAGAAATGTAAACGTAATTTTAGTAAATGTGCGTCAGAAAAGAACGAAAGATATTGAAGTAAATTTATTTGACTATAATTTCGCAGTAGAGTACGTTTTGGGATTAGATTAGAAAATAAAAATGATTTTTCACTATATGTAAAGATCAGCTTAGTACCTACTCTGGTCCAAGAACAAAACGTTACAACCTTTTTTTATGTATCCATGCCTTAAATTGTTAAGGTCGTCTGCAACACATTTCTAAAATCCGTCTGAGCCATGTCCGTGAGATATGAAAAAGTATGTTGCTGTTCACATTTCAACATTTTAATTGATATACATTGTACACTATCATACATTCTCTCAGTGTTTTACTATCACTAAAACTCAGAAGACGATGAACAAGGTATCGATATTTGTTTTAGATTAAATGTCTTCTGCACTTTCTTCGTTTTCTGGTTCTTCGGGGAGCGTGTAAACACCAGTCATCACAGGGCCTTCTAGCACCTGTAAAAAAGGGTATATTGTTATTTCAATATATCTCTTAAGAACATTTTAGGATTTTACCTCAAATATTCAAACCTAAATATGTCCAAAACGAGTGAACTGACAAAAATTCTTCAAGAGACAAAATTTATCGAATGGTAGTTTATAAAGGGCACTTATTATCTCCGAAAATGCCAGTGGGTGTAGGTACCCCAGTTTCTACGTCCCTAGTTTAGCTTGGGCCGGGAATCTCTGTATGTTTATTGCTGACGATGTGCTCAGAGGGCGAGTTAAATTCTAACTCTAACTCACTATCTTTACCCGCTCCGCAGGCAATTATTTTCAAATTTCGTAAATAAACTTCATCACCCTGTAGGTGTATCTCGATAGAGGAGTATCTTTGGACATATTTATCGGAACATTTATTATTTTTATTTTCTACCCTAGAATCGGCACATCTTACACCCTATATAGTGCTTTTAGCAAAGTTATATCTAAGATAGATTTCAACTAATCCTAGTAATATCTAATCTAATAGAGATTGATTCAGCTTGTTGAGTTCCCTGTGCAGGAACAATTTAATTTTTATGAAAAATGTTCTCTTCATTTTATTTTTGCAGAGCTAGAGATAAGGGGGGGGCAGCTGTATATGCCTATGGGCAGGCTGTCAAAGATGAGCATGTTTGTATAGTGAGTCGCTTATACCTCAAAAACAAATCGCTCTGGTATGCTGTATCAATCTTCTTGTCTTGAGAGGTTCTATCCGAATGTTTAATGAAATATCAACACCCCCCATTGAAAAAGATTGTCAATTTGTGTCATTTGCTTAAACGGATTTTTTCACATTTTATTGCAGATTCAGATTAAACACTTCTGAAAGGAGGCATTTGATCCCCGCCTCAGGTTTCAGTGAATGGAGCTCGCATACCATGGGGAAATTCTGCTAGGTATCTCGGTGTCACTCTTGACACGGGGATGACCTGGCAGAATCACACTGAAGCGTTAAAAACTAAATTCCAAATTACGTTTCGGCATCTCTACCCTTTGCTATGTAGAACCTCAAAATTAAGTGTGGTTAACGAAGTTCGGTTATACAAGATGGTTATTAGACCAGCAATCACTTACGCATGTGCAGCATGGTGTTTGCTTGCCAAAACGCATATGCGTAATCTGCAGGTTTTGCTGAACAAAACCTTGCGAACCATCACTAACGCACCATGCTATGTCTCCAACGAGACCCTTCACAGAGACCTCGACATCCCTTACCTGGGACTACATCAAACATCAGGCGCAGTTACGTTATAGTCAAGCGGAATCGCACAGCAACCCTCTGTTGCGTGAGTCAGTAGACTACACAGTCGAGCAAGTTCGCAAGCACACAAACCGCGGCTCGCACTGTGATCAAAATCAAATGGTGCAATTCTAGGTTCAACAAAAATTACGATTTTGCCACACACAAATTAATTTTTGGATTAATTTAAAATAGCCGAATACCAGTTAACAATAGCAAGGCATCCCTTTAACCGGCGCACTTCACCCTCTTTGCTCTTCCCCCTTCCTTCCTTTCTTTCTTCTTCCTTTCTTTCTCCCTGACTTCGTCTGGTATCTGGGCAACCAGACCTGACAGACCTACTGACCTACGATACCTTAAAAAAGAGCGAAGGTCCCACGGACCGCTCTGACGAACAATCACGAATAGAAGAGGTGTTTGATATAAAATAACGTTTTGATGATAAATTGTTGGGTTAAAAACGATTCAATATCAAAAGCGCTCTACTTTGACATCCTGTCAGTTCACTTATATTCTAGAATTATGAAGTACCCATAAGGGACCCTAAAAAAAGGTATTACATGATCTCCCCGTTCCATTTAAAAACAAGACGCCAAGCCGCCATCTCGAAATGTTATTTTTTCGTCAAAATATAGTATTCATGTGTCAATTTGATCATCCAGATGTCAGCTCCCTAGCTTGACCGACAGGGAAATTGCGTATCTTGAAAGGTGACATTACGTCGTTTTTTTGACATTATATACGTTTTTTTGTGACATCATGTAGATTTTTCTACAGGATGCCAACTTAGCTCTATCTATTGTTCCGTTGATGTGCACTCGTTCTGCAGCAGAACGTGTTGCCTAAATACCATAACGCTTCAGCTATCAATGTTTGGCTCTGATGTGATGTAACATCTGCTTCGGAGATGGCATTATTGGAAGTTTAAGCTCTAAGTTGTATACTATAGCTGGAAGGAAACGACAGTGCTCAGGTGCATAGTGAGGATATGCGTGCTAATGATCTGTGTTGATGATAATCCCCTTAGTTTCTTGTCTCAAATACACTAACTTGAGCTGTATGCTTCATCCTGGAAATTACACACAAATTCCGTTCACTCGAATATAAACCTCAATACATACAATCACTATTCAATCATCCAGATCCGATTTTGCTACTCAAGCAATTTCCTTTCTGTCACATCTTTTCAGAGATATACTCTGCAGACTATCTCGGCATTCTGCAACCAACAAAGCATGTTGGGGAACTGACTTGCAGCATGGTCATTGAGCGTGTCGTGTCGTTGAGTTATTCCTTCATAGATGGCGCTTTTGGTGACGCTCACAGCGCTCATAGCGAGCAAACGCAGAATGAATCTTACACACTATAAACTAATGTCAAGTTGACATTTTGTCGGCTTTTTGACATTAAATGGTTTTTTACGTAATAACCCTGACTTTCGGAAAATAAGTAGGATGTACCTTTACATTCAGCATAGGCGCGTGAGAGATGCAGCATACAGGCAGCCGCTAGCATGACAATGTCTGAGGATAGAATTACAATGTCAACAGTCTGTGCTAAGATTTTTAGATTATTTTCAATAGGAGAATGAAAACAACGCTGTGTGGGTGTGCAAAAGCAAGTAGCAGTCGTGGTACAGTTAAGACAATCTATCTAGCTTGTATGACTTTGTGATGTTACCGCCAAAAACCATGAAAAGAACTGCACTTCATTTAGTTCAATATAAATTTACCAGTTTTTAAACATTTTTGTCAACTTAGTGACACTACATGACTTCCTCTTCGATAAATATGGAGCTTTCTATCGCTATCGTTATGTTTTTGTTGTAAACCAACAATCTAGTCAAACCCAAGGACAATGAAGGTGACCGGTGGAATTCAAAGACATTCCACGCATTTCTCTTTTGGTATAGTTATGCTTTGGTCCGATCCTAACTATGATCTCACCTCAGGCATCTTGGCCACCACGATCTCATGCGTGGCACCCATAGCAGCCCCCATAACCGCCGGCACGTCCACCGTGGAAGTGGGCGTTCCCGTCGTACTCAACAGCGTTTCCTCCGTCAAATTCCGCCTGTAGAGGGCCCCGCTGGCGCTTCCGCCAACGCCCGGCTGCTTCTGCGCTTGAGCATTGAAATGTCATGAGGGCATGCCGAACGGATCGCCCATGCTCAGCTCGTCGGGGAAACTGCCAGATGAGAGTTTCGGCATTGATTTCGCTTGGTGCTTTAACCTAGACAGAAGAATATTCGTTGATTTATTTAATGTTGTTAAAATTAGAGAAATCATTGCACTTTGTATATGACGATCTGAGCCGCTTTTCAGTGCTTTTGAATTTAGAGTTGTATGCACCCGGAGTGTGACGACCCAAAACTGCTCTAGCAAATATGTACGGGAACGCAGCGATAAAAACCTAAGCTGTCTTTTGATGTTTTGCTTTGACGTTGACAGTTTGTGATCACACTGCCTGAAAATTCTCATTCTTTCGCATTGTTTATTAGAACTCCAAACTATTCAATTTTGACGGGTCTGGCTTCTAAATGGTGAGCATGGAGTTTTTCGAGAAGGAAATGTTGGTAACCCCAGCCAGCTCCCTGACAACTGACTGACTGACCACATAACTAACCTACAATTTGACAACACATGAACAAAAATATCAAAACTGACAAACTAGCTCTCTGGGACCTTTTTGGAATGCAGTGTATGCAAATCTAGTCATTACTTTTGTCTTAGTATCTCTAGGATTTAACTAAAAATAACAAATGACATTTGGTTTTCTAATTATATGTGTCAGAAGCAACGAAACAACCAGTTTCCAGTTGTTAAATTTTCCATAATGCACAACAGCATTGTAGTGGCATGCTAAGATTGTGTAAGTATACACAGGGTGTTCATTTGAAAACCTCCTACCTCCAACCTTCCCTTAAAAATTTTAAATGACAAGGGGTATCGAGTAATAGCTTGTTTGAAAGTTCTTTGGAAGTCCTTTATTTTGATGTTTGATTTTTTGAAATAAGTCGAAAGTTCGAAAAAAATAGAAAAATATTTATTTATCTTAATTTGTTCAGATGGAAAACGAAAATATCGATTTTTATTTCAATAAGCGTTCAAAATGTTGCCCGTTGAGGTTTGCCAAATCTACAATTCATATATAATTTAAAACTGAAACTACCAACATAAACAGCAATTCGGAAGATTAGACGTGGCAACAACCAAATAACAACCCGAATATCTACATTCATTCTACAACACATATATCCTGGGCGATCTGTATTTATTGTTATACCTGTTTTGTGAGCAGAGGACTCTAGGGATTAATGGTAATACCATTCATGTAAAGAATATCTGCTTCAGTAATGAATCCACATAAAATGGATTTGTTAATAAGCACAACTGCAGGTATTGGAGTAATAAAAATCCTCATAAAAAAATTTATGTATGGGAAGGCATTTTAGTGATTGGGCCTTTGTTTATAAATGGAAATTTGATTGGAGACATTTATTTGGATATGTTGGAAAATACCGTCAATAAGCGTATCACTGAAACCATCGAAAAGCAAAGCGAAGAGGATGGAAACCCTATACTTGATAATGCCGAAATATATTTCCATCAAGATGGCGTTCCTCCTCACTATGTTCTTCAGGCTCGGCAATGGCTAGACGACGAGTTTCCAGATAAATGGATAGGGCGAAAAATTGCCTGCTAGATCTCCTGATTTGACGCTATTATTCTTTTTTCTATGGGACCATTTGAAATCTGAAAGTTTGGATGAACTTCGTCAACGCATCATCTAAAGCTGCCATGGTATCCCAAAAAATGTTTTTGAAAATGTCCGTCAGGAATTTGAACGTCGCCTATATCATTGTTTGGCCAATAAAGGGCAATATTTTGAACACTTAGTGAAAGAAAAAGTGATATTTTCGTGGGTTTTTGAACAAATCAATATAAATAAAGATTTTCCTAATTTTTCAAACAAGCTATTACTCGATACCCCTTGTCATTTAAAATTTTCAAGTGAATGATTCTGGGGGGAAAAATCTTTTGACGTGTCTCGGCGTTTTTTTTCCTTCAATCAGTGATTTTCGATAAATCCGTGGTGAGGAGTTTTCAAATGAACACCCTGTATATGTTATCATACTGCCAATTAATAAAAGTCCTCTGAGTCATCAATATTTTACGGCTGCGCCATGGGAATCCCGTGACTACCTCAGTAGTCACTAACTCACTAATTCTGACGTTTTTCAGAAATCCATGTAATCAGTCTCTTTAAATAAAAAAATCGGCAACTACTGCATGGAGTATCCTCGCATCTGTTCGGAAAAATAATCTAATTTGTTTTTTTGCATATTTTTATTAAAAAGGAGTTTTTTTTACGAATCTGCATATTGTCACGCGTAAAAATGCGTCAAGAATCGTTTAAGTAATTTGCTGTAAGCAAATTAAAAATATTGCATTTTAACCCTGGGCAAAGTTTTTTTAGGTTTTAAGGTTCTGAATAAAATGTTTCCCATAACCCTTTCTCGAAAGCAAATTGTTTTTGAGATGTAAGCTTAACAATGCGAAAAATGCCATTTTCGGCGCCAAAACAATACGAAAAAATGAGAAATTCGATGTTTTTTAAGTTCCAAAATATTCCTCAAACACTCATTAATAAAATCCCAAAGCATTTTAGGGGGTATTATTATTGTGCGCTCAATATTTTTGCGCGACATGAACAGAATTAAAGGAAAACTGTTTTTCTAAAAAAGGTACATTTTTTCCAGCCAAAGGATGCAGTTTTCCAAAAATATCATATTTCAATGATTATATTATACAATATGTAAAGAATATCGTAACATCGCCTTAGGGCTAGTTCGTCTCTGTCGACCTAATTGAGTTCATTGAATTCAATGGAGACTACTATGTAAGGTCTCAGCTAGTTACTAAGCTGTCAAAGTTTTGTAGGAAAATACAATGTTGTGCAAGAGTATTCTAAAACTAATTTATTTCCAGTAGCGTTCTTTAGGCCCAATTTTGCAAATGACCCGCGGAAGAAATTGCTCCTAGGGCGCAAATTAGTCCAATCAGATAGTCTGACTTATCAGGGTGGTGTCTAAGGCGCAAGCTTTGTGCCTGAGATTAGTAAAATGGGGGTCTTGTCTTTCCATAGGCAGGCCCCGTAGAACATTTTCACCTAAGAACTAGTGACTTATTTTATTCGTCTCTTTCTGGGACACCCTGTATAGTGAAGATCTTACCTGTGTACGATTTCGTCGTGCACGACATTGAAGCACATCGCGGTGAGCGCCATCCCAGACATGATGTAGATGGCGACAAACCAGACGGTCCCAGCATCACCGCCTGTCCCAGTGGCCACTACTTGCTGCTGGGGTAGCAGAGCGGCAGCGCCAGGAGTCATGTCGCCGAACCCGATTGTGGTCAGGCTCATGAAGCAAAAGTAGAATCCGTCCAAAAGGGGCCATCTGAAAAAAACAAAATTAAAAAGCATCCGCAAGTTTTGAAAAACTTTTTAAACTTGGCAACAGTGGTTTCATAGAACAAATTTGACCTCCACACAAATACTCACATCGCCGTTAGTGATATTTGCAGCTTGCAACATTACACCTGCCTATTTAAAATATATTCAGAAAGCAATACATAGCTGCCTCCGCAAGGTGTGAACAAATTTTTAAACATTGCAATAGCGGTTTTATAATTTGACCTCCACACAAATATTCTGATCGCCGTTAGTGATATTTGCAGCTTGCAACATTATACCTGCCTATTTAAAATAAGGGTTGTCCAATAGGGACGCAGGAAAGTAAACGTCAATTTGACATAGACGCCATCTTTGTTTTCTGTCACCGACATGTCATTTTGTTAGTTGCATGTTTACCATTGATCGCTATGGAGTCGTATTCGATTGAAGACCGCATTAAAGTTATTCAAGAGCACTACAAAAATGGTGCAAAAATAAATACACGTTTCGTGCGCTTCGTGAACATTTCGGTCGCAACAACCGCCCAAACGAAACAACCATCGGTCGTCTGGTGCGTAAATTCGAGGCAACAGGTTCTGTGGCAAATCTGCCAGGCTCTGGCCGGCCAAGGAGCGTTCGCACACCGGAAAATATTGCTGTTGTGAAGGAGAGTGTGCGAGACGATCCGAAACAATCAACAACGCGTCGATCCCAAGAATTGGGCATTTCGAGAACCAGTTTGCTCCACATTCTCCACAAGGATTTGAGTGTACACGCCTACAACATCCAATTGACGCAAGAGCTGCGTCGGGCCGACCATTTTTCACGCCGAACGTTCTCAGATTGGCTCCTTGAACACCGCCAAATTGATGCCAATTTTTCATCAAAAATCATGTTCAGCGACGAAGCGCATTTCACTTTGAATGGGAGGGTAAACAAGCAAAACTGCCGCATCTGGGCGAACGAAAATCCCCGTGAGTATCAAGAGCAGCCGATGCATCCTCAAAAAGTGACTGTGTGGTGTGCATTGTGGTCAAAAGGCATCATCGGACCTTACTTTTTCGAAAATGCGGCCGGGGACGCCGTTACCGTCAATTCTGAGCGATATCACGTGATGATAGAGGACTATTTTTTGCCGCAACTTGAAGGAATGGATATGGACGATGTTTATTTCCAACAAGACGGTGCAACATGCCACACAACCAACGTCAATATCCATCGATTGCAGTCCTTCTTCGGTGATCGCGTGATTTCGCGCAGAGGAAATGTGCCATGGCCACCAAGATCGAGCGATTTGACTCCCTTGGACTTCTTTTTATGGGGATATTTGAAAAGCAAAGTCTACGTCAACAAACCAGCCACCCTCCAAGAACTCGGAAACAACATCATTGCCGAGATAAATGCCATAGAACCGACCATGTTGCAAAATGTCATTGAAAATTTCGACCATCGCGTGGACGTCTGTAAATCCAGTCGTGGTGAACATTTGAGCGATATTATTTTTCATACATAAATGGTATAAATGAACCGTCAAAATAAAGTACCCAACTTGATTTGAATATCAATCTTTCTTGTTTTAATATGCGTTTACTTTCCTGCGTCCGGTTTGGACAACCCCATATATTTAGAAAGCAATACATAGCTGCCTCCGCAAGGTGTGCACAAATTTTTAAACATTGCAACAGCGGTTTTATTGAACCTCTCCACAAATATTCTAAGCGTCATTAGTGATATTTGCAAGTTGCAACGTTCAAAATTGATCAGAAAATTAAAAAAATCATTAAAATCAAACAGACAGACATACCAATGGCAACAAGTGACATATTTTATCGTACATGTACGTACATGTCATGTAAGAGCTTGGCAACTAGACCACATTTGGTCCTTTTTGCCGACACCGTAGCATCAACACCACAAGTGATCTAGTGATCTTGGCGGACAACGGTTAACTGTCATGGGCTATTGTTGTAGGTCTTTTTGTCGGTTTTGAATTTATTAAGAAATATCAGACAAATATATACTGGTAACTAATTATTTTTTTTACCGAAGCAGCCCCGAAGACAGAAGCCTAAATGCCGGGACACTGCGGCTGCTATGAGGATCCCAAAAATAATTTTGTTAATCCGATTTTTGAGTGCCTAAGGTTAGTAGAACTGGGAAAAGCTTGTAGATTGTTCCACAATCTCGACATCCTCGTGACAAAGGAGCGGTCGTATCGGCCAGTTCTAGATGCACGAAGTTCGACACGGTTAGGATGGGAAGCCAAAGTTAGGCGAGTCTTCTGGCAGGCACATAGCGCGGCGGGATCATGGAAGAGAGCTCTGAAAAGCAAAGCCGTGTAGCGGTAGAAGAGAGTTAGATCGCTGAAGGGCCCGCCGATGCGAAAGGGTTCCGAGACTGTCTGTTAGAAAAGAGTCGTCGATGAGTCGGACAGCCCTTCTCTGGACAGCGACGAGCATAAATAACGGGGGGGGGGGCGGCAGCACCCCAAACGTGTGAGCAATACTCGAGGCTAGGCCTTATCTGGACCTTGTATAGAGAGATGCGGAGAAAAGTACTCCTTAGCTCTAAACAAAAAGCTTAGCTTTTTCCCTGCAGCTGCCGCTATTGACGAGATGTGTTCGAGCCAGATCAAGTCCTCGGTGATCTGGACTCCGACCAGCCGAAGTGATCGGCTCTTTGGTAGATCTCGGCCATCCATCAAAACGGGATGAGCGCTAGGACGCTTTTTGTTCGTCAAGGTTCAGTACTGTATCTTGGAAGCATTAAGCTGTACAAAATTGTTGCGTTCCCAAACAGGACTCTCGTCAGAGAGGAAGTCGCCGCTAGTCTTTTCCAGCTCAAGCTAAGTGATATACCTATGATCATTTTGCACCGATCTTTTGCATGACATAGACAACACACAACATCAATGACTCGGAACTAACTTCCGAGGTGGAGATCTAAACTCGCGAGTCCACGCCTCCCATGTACCATCCAAAAAACTATTGAATAACGTATTCCACCTAAATATAGATAGATAGATATACTGTATCCCTAAGTCCAAAAATGGATATGTAAGATGATATCGCCATCTATGACACAGTAGACATTTATTTTGAAAAGAGTGTTTGCTTCTCCTAATGTCGCGTGGATGGCGTTAGGATATTCAATCCGTTTTGGCATATTTGATACCAATTTCAATTGGATATCTCCGGGTGGAATACGTTAGTCGATGCAGTTACCCACTTAACCTAAGCCAAAAAGAGATTGAAGATACTAGCGCCATCTATGAAACAGTCGCAGAATGAAACACCAACTCATTTCAAAGTGGGACCCTGAATTTATTTATGTGCTACTGTCTGATGGCACTAGCCAATTCATGTTATGAAATATAATCGTTCCCGTTATTATTAAAAGCCCCCGTTTTTCAATTTTTATGCTAAGACTAAAATTAGCTATAGAGAACTAACGCCCTGGTAAATTGGACTTGAGAATCCTGTATATCTCATTAAAGGGTGACATTTTACTAAGACATACATTGGCTCAATAGTATTATTTTCAAAGATTAATCCAAAATTGGTTGTTGGCACATTCATTACAGGCGACCCTATACAATCTTGTCTAACAATTTTTCCATCATATATTCTAAAGAACCACTTTTACAAAATATATTAGGTATGATCAACAGACTGGAAAATTGATAAAATTCATTAAAATAAAGATAAAGAATTCTTGTGTGTATAAAAATCCTTACCCTTCCATTTTGTAAAGCACGAACGTCCCAAAACAAATATAGATGAACATAGTGCACAGACAGAGGAGTATCGGCGCTAGTATGGACCAACCATGCATGGATGTTTTAGAGTCGTTGTCCGTTCCGCTCAAGCTGTCCATTTCCTTTGAGGTTACGCCGTCTCGACAGGGAGAGTGTAGACTATTGGAGTACGAGGAGTTTGAGCGGACGTAGAATGGTTCTTGTAGGCCTAAAAAGTAAAAAATACATTTGATACAGTAAGTATGTGAGAAATATAGCCACCGTTATTACTAATCTAGGTCGCACAAACTACGATACATTTACTTATGATACAAAAAAAGCAAAAGCAATGTCTCAAATATTCTTAACGCTTAACGTTTTCAACCCCTACAAAGAACTTTTCTGAAAATGAAAAGGACTCCTTGAAACGTTAAAAAAACGAAGATATAGTAATTTTATTTTTTTCTGTTTCTACCTACATCATTTCGAACTTTGGCATAGTGGTAGCTTCGTGATGAAATTTATACTAAACCCAAGTGCTATATTCCAAGTTACGGGCCAAAGATCAGCGGACAGACATATCGACATACTGACAGTCAGCCAGACGAAAACGAGTGACAGTTTTTCGTGGTGTAAAATCCAAAAAAACATATCGCATCTTCGATTTTTTTTATTATATTATTATAAAAGAGACGAGGGAAGAAGAATGGAAGATATGATGGAAGAATAGAAGCATAAGAGGAATAAAGGCAGAAAGGAAAATAATGAAAGAAGGACGAGCAAATAGGACGAAACGAATCTTTTGAGATAGAAGGTAAGCATTCATTATATATACATATAAGTGAAACCCTTGTAATCCTTAAAAGGTTTAATTTTTTAGCCAGATGGTACTAACCCAGTTGTTGTTGCAACTCCATCTGTTGTCTTTTTTTCTTCATCCTCTTCTCCTTTTCAGCCATCCGCTTCTCATCGTAGCAGCAATACCCGCAGTTTGAGCACAGACAGCAGCAAAGAGCCCTTGAGAAGACTCCTCTGGCCACTCGGCTCAGGATGGAGCCGACGCTAGAGAGATAGAGCAATGTCAATGGGATGCCCACCATGGCGTAGCCCATGGTGACTGCCTTGCCGAGGGATGTCCTGGGTGCAATGTTGCCATACCCTAGATAAGAAATATTCAGTTATTATACAGGGTCTTTAAAATTATGGGATAAGAGTTCATTCGACTATGCTAAGGCCGGCACGGGTATTACGTATCTCGAAAAGTGACATTATGCCGATTTTTTTGACATTGTATTGTTTTTTTGTGACATAATGTGGGTTTTTCTACAAGATGTTAACTCAGCACTTAGTTGTACGTGTTGCCTACACGTCATGAGGCTTCAGTTATTAATGTTTGGCTCCGATGTGATGTAAAATCTGCTTCGGAGATGGCATTATTGGAGATCTAAGCTGTAAGTTGTATGTGTTGATGATAATTCCATTGGATTCTTGTCTCAAATACACTTGAGATTCAAAGCTTAGAATAGTTGCGCATCCACTTTTCCTTATCCATTCTGGAGAGTACATATGCAAATTCGCTGCAGTACAAAAGTGAGAGAGATAAGAAATTATTATATTTACTGTATACTGTCGAATTACAAGCCATATATGTATATGCTAACAGTAATTACATACACCGCGGGCGCGGTAGTGATTTTCCGTAATTCTGCTCAGAGTTCTTCGTAATTTATAACTTTGAAAATAACCTCTCTTCAGAAAGCACAACACAAATAACCCGTCGAGCTAATAGATATACTTCATTGGCAGCATATTCAGTAATTATTTTCTCACACAGCAAATATCACTGATTTTATACACATGCATATTCAACCAACTTTCTTCTCAGAGATAAAAACTACAGATTGCTTGGCTTCACAAAACATATGCAACCAACAATGCGTGCAGTTTAGTTGAGTCATTCCTCCATAGATGGACGCTCACAAAGATAATAGTGAGCAAACGTGGAATGACTATTTCTTGAAATACAAATACGGGTGTCCGCAAAGTTGGGGTTTTGCTTTACACGACGTGTAGATCTTGAAAACATAAGCAACTTTTCTTAGTACCATATACACCAATGTCTTAAGAGAACCGAGATAAAGGGCTCTGCAACATCAAAAATATCTTAATACCGTCCTGTAGCCGCGACTCGCGATATCTCCAACTGGTACCGGCTACTAGCTCAACCCGACGACAGAACTGGGTCGGGGGTCGGGGTCAGTGTATCAGGTCAGTATGCAACCTTCAACCGACGGTTACGGTCACGCGGTCAAGCGTGTAGAGGTAAACGAACTCGTATAATCGATTGCGTTTCAAAAAACAACAAGCTCTAGAGACGTGGCTAGAGAAGTGCAAGTATCAAAAACTAAAGTGTGACAAACGCTGCGTGAAGAGGGGCTGTGTCCGTTTCACGTCCAACGTGTTCAAGCCCTTCAACCTGACGATTTTCCAGCAAGAGTGCGGTTTTGTGAGTGGTTGTTGCATCAACATGACAATAATCCGGACTTTTTGTAGTGCATATTGGTGACAGACGAATCTACGTTCACGCGTAATGGGGTGAATAACTTTCGCAACACTCATTTTCAACAAACATTTTCGGTGAATGTTTGGGCTGGCATGGTGAACGGTAGGCTCATTGGACCATTTATTCTCCCAAATCGATTGGACGGGATGCAATACCTAGACTGTTTACGTCTGCTCGGTAGCGCATCAGCTGATTTCATTTTCTGTTGGAGAGAGTATGATTTCGGGCAGAGACGTACTTAGCCCTTCTCGTCAACTGGAGAGTGAGTACTTTTTCCTTTATTTTTTTTACTTGGTCGCCTTCGTTTCACTACACATTACCTTTGTTATTTCCAGGGTAGTTGTTTCTGAAAAGGAAAACCCCAACTTTGCGGACACCCTGTATATATATATATATATATATATATATATATATATATATAAAATTGCATTTTTGTCATATACCACATACACATTAAATCGTTCCGCGTGACCATTCGCCCGTTTTATAGAAATTCGGAAATACTGACAACCGATCCAATTTCCATTAGTATCTCTGTACGACTCATCAAATTCCTATTATAACAAAGTTTTCATATCCAGCAATTTCGATTGATTAAAATGAAATTCAGTGTCGACGTTCCCTGTCACCCAACGGGGTATTTTTACGACACCGTTTCATCTTTATGAGCCCGCGCAGCCCCGAAATGACTTCTATTTTATATATCTCCGGAATTTATTAGGTTTTTCTCTCCGCCTCACATTTTCCTCAGTCCAATTAAGGGCGTGGGCAAAAACGGAAAGCCCGCCGCCACCAGCAAAGCGTTGACGTCCTGTACATCCAACAAAGACATGACAAAAAGAATCTCCTTTGTGCCTGATTTAACTCAATTTTCTTCTAGTCCAAGATCTCTTGTACGATGCAATGTCTATTATACAGGGTGTTTCCTAATTAAATATCAATATTTAAGGGAGCGACTTTTGGGTCCATTTTAAGAAGAAAACTATGAACGTGTATCTTAAACGACGTAACGTTTGAGAAAACAGGGTGGTAAGGTTTTCAAAAACAATTTATTTATTAATAACACACTGATATTTTAGTAAATTTGGAATACATGTACTATATATCAAGATGCTTTTTTTAAGTACTACATTTTTTTTAATTTCCCCCAATATTGTGCGCATGCAATTTCGCCTGCCTATTTTGACAGATATTCGTAGTACGCCTCTGATTTCCCTTAAAATAAAAATGGCGTCATGTAGGTTGATTTTGAATTTCCCACGCAACGCCGTTATCAGTTCATAAAGTAATATGTTCAGCCCAAACTAGATCCCTGTGAGAAAAACGTCAGTTGAACAGGACTATACAATTAGTCCATAGACTTCTTTCATCTTCTTCTTTCCCTTCCCGACCGTAGTGACTAAGCAAATTTATATTTTCAGGCTGACGCACGGTTTTCACCTAAAAAAATAAGATAATAAGCATGTTGATATCGTCATACTGTTATATCACGCAAAGCAACGGGTTATATTGTTTTAAAGTGAAAACCGTGCGTGAGATTGGAAAAAATCAAGCGATTAAATTTGCTTAGAACTGATTGGGAATTCCATGAATAATTTTTATTTTAAGAGAAATCAGTGGCGTTCAATCAATGTCTGCCAAAGTAGGTAGGAAACTTTCCGTACGAACGCCACTGGTAGAAATTAAAAAAAGGTACAATCAAAAACCTCCCGATATCTTGATATCTGTTATCAACTACTCCGCTTGTGATGAAATAATAAATATTAACGATAATGGTTTGCATATTTGGGGTGCGTCGAAGGCATCTGCTTTGTTTATATTGTGTCAAGGTCAATCGTACATCTATGTTTAACACATGTTTTTCTCATTTTATCTACCACTTGTATAATCACGTTCCCACAAACCTTAGGGCTATGTCTGTGTAAGCTTTTAAAAGAACTTACAGAAAACTTCTATTAGATGAGTTGAGGGGTTTGGAAGTAAAAATGTTCAAGAGCACTTTTTTAATTAAATGGTCTAAGTGCAGAATATCATACCTAAAGCATATCCTAACTTGGTGGTAAAATGATTTAAATGCAGGCAACGTTCCCCGGCGCCATCTCTCATAGTCTTTGAGAACATATCAAAATATCCACTAATACAGTATGTGGTAAAATGATTCAAGTGCATTTGAACCATTTTACTTCTAAGGCTTTGGCAACTATTTTTAATGTTTTACGTGTGACGTGATTTCAACGTTTTACTTATTCTTAGTTAAAAATACGCATTGTGCAGTATTGGTAGTGTTATAATAATAAACAAAATGAGTACTGATTGGGAACGCAAGGTATCTCTCAGGAGAATTAAGTATAAATAAGATGTTCAAATTATATCAGGAGTTTTGTATTGACAAACAAGAATTACCAGTAAAAGAGTCCTATTACATGCATATTTTCAATACGGAATTCAATTTGAGATTCCACAAGCCCTATAGTGATACCTGCAGTCGTTGTGACAATTTACAAAATTTAATAAAATATTCTACAAATGAAGACGTGATTAAAAATGCGAAGAAAGACCTCGAGCTGCACCGAAGAAAGGCCCAGAAAGCAACAGATGCCAAAAAAGCTGATATTGCTGAAAATAAAAATGATTCTAAAAATACGGCTGTAATTTGTTTTGATTTGCAACAGGCATTGCCAACGCCATTGTTAACCACATCTAAAGTATTTTATCTTCTATAATTTCTGTGTCTTTGACTTACTGACTGGAAAAAGTTATATGTATACTAAGTGACATATAAATCCGAACACCCAGTTTAAATGGTTTTATTTTAATAAAAGTTGGTGAATGTATTTATCTTACTGTAAATAACAAGTGAAAAAATTTTCAGCCTTATCATTTGGACATTCCGGTTTTTATACTGCTTTTTTTTAATTCACTAACGCTCTAAAAATGAATATTTCAGCCGCAGTAAAGAATCAACGTTGGCGGATTTTGGTTCTTGACATCCTTTACGATCGGTTACGATACCTAGAGTACGGAGACCTGTACGATTTCATCAACTTAGTGAGTTTGATAGGGGCCGTATAGTGGGACTTCGGGAAGCTGGACTTTCTTTTCGGGCAATTGCAGTTAGAGTGAAAAGAAGTGTAGACACTGTGGTTAGGTGTTGTCAGGCATGGCTTCGAGAAGGCCGTACGCAAAGAGCAAGGGGCACTGGACGCCGCCGTAGAACAACAAACCGTGAAGATCGCCACTTAAGATTATTGGCCTTAAGGGACCGTTTCTCCACTACCAGGTCCATTGCAAATGAATGGTTTGCAGAACACGGAAGACCTATTGGCATGCGAAGTGTTTACCGACGAATGAGAAGTTTTGGCTTGTTTTCATACCGGCCACACTAGGTCCTCCCTTTAACTCGAGAACACCGACGTAATCGCCTTGAGTGGTGCAGACAACGGTCACTCTGGGATCAGGAATGGAACAGTATTGTCTTTTGTGACGAGTCTCGATTTTGTTTAGGCATGCACGATGGTCGTGCCAGGGTTAGAAGGCGACGTGGTGAAAGGAGGAATCCACGGTTTTTTGTTGAAAGACATGTTCATCACACTGTTG